CGCGCATGCTCGCGAGTCTCGTGGTTGGATCTACTCCGGCATGGCTGTTCAGATTATGACAGATCTCGGCCTTCACCTGGACCTACCCGGGGAATCATCTCAGCTGGAAACAACCGATCAGGGCTATGATCGGCTTCTGAACCTGCGGCGGAATCTCTTCTGGTCAACCAATACGATCGACACGCTTTGGTCAGCACATTGCGGCCGGCCTTCGTTGTTGAAAGGGTTCATCCATAACGTGAAACCCCCTCAACCATCCACAACCGATATGTGGCGCTTCTACGTCGACGAATACAGCTCGCGCAAATTCCCTGATGAATTTGACTTTGCTGCTGCTAATCTCGTCCATATCCACCTCGCCTCACTGATGACAGTTCATGCTCGGGTGTCGCAAGTTCTGTATTCTGGCGTTCCTGACAGGTTTACAGACATCGAGTCCTTTGTTTCTCAATCAGACACAGATTTTCGGGATTGGTTCAAAGCATTACCGCCACGCCTCCAGCTCGACACGTCGGGTAAGACAACATTCTATGTTCCTGCTGTGATGGAGCTTCACCTCAGTTATCACGAGTGTATCATCCTGTTGCACAGACCGCTTGTGTCACCTGAAGACACAACGGACACAACTCTCTTATCTCCAACATCTTCACTCCACCACTGTCTGGTCAGTGCACGAGAGATCTGTAAGATCCTGACTCTCTTCCGCAGAGCTTATGGGCTTAGGAGACCCCACCATCTCATGGTCCATGTCACCATGACTGCGGCATTGATTCACGTTTTTCAACTCAGTGTCGTTCCTGGACCCGATGGCGAGACTAAAAGGGCCCAGCAAGACTTGCTTACATGTATTCAGGCCTTAGGCGAAATGGGCCAGACCTATAGGAGTGCCTCTCGAGCTCTCGATGTCGTCACTGCGCTCCGGCAAAGCTGGCAGGACAACAGCCTTTTGAATGACAGATTCAAGCGACCTAAAATCAAGTGATTAGTTCTGACGATGTCTTCGCCCCGTTATGTATATGATACTGATTTACAACTTGAATACGCGTTGTGAAGACTGGTCCTGGTGATGGGATACTCTATCTTTATTTTTTTGACCTATTTTATATCCTCGCTACGTATGATGTATGACCATTCTCAAAATGAATCACACTTTACGGACTACATCGGCCGAAGTTGCGAGGGTCCAAGCAAGGTGTTACCTCTGCCGCCTCGTATGTCCCCTAACGGGGCCCAAAGCGAAATTCTTGTTGCGATTCACAGCATTGGCTGTAAACACCTGAATCCTCGTATCATATCCCCTTTGAAGCCGGGTTTAAGGATGTACTGTAAATGGATGGCCCAAACTCCAAACTCCTGATCTAGAATAAAGTGGTGGTTACTCCGACACGAGAGTGCCACCCCGCAAACGAAAGTGTGGTCTTTACTCCGAGCCCACACTACGATCAATCAACCTAGGAGGCAGCCAGAGCCATTGAGACCCAACACTCTGACATTTCTCTCTAAATAGATAATGAAGGTCAGAAAAAGGCACCAGACACTCTGCAATGGGAAGTCACAATTTTTGTGTTTGCTTGACACGATAACGAAGGTGATGAATGCGGAGGAGTTGGCGCGGTACGGGGTTCCCAAGCGGCTCTCTTCCTTCAATTACGGGGCGAAAGACATCTTTGCTCAGTCATAGCGTGTGCGAAATCCGATACGAAGTGCGAATCGCTCATGTTGTAGAAGCTCTTTACAACTAGGTCAATGTTCATGGTCTGAGCGAGTCGAATATCCAATGACATGCCCCTGTGACGAATTTTTCCGCAGGAAAAAGCCCTTAAATTCGTATCAGTAAATAAGGTAGTTGTCTATCTAGTGATGGCTTGTAGGCCCAAATATCCGTGAAAATGGGTACCGAGCGATTCGCACCCCCACCGGTTTCCCACTCAACTCCGTCGCCATCCTCCTAGCCTGGGGAATAATGGAGATTCTAGTGGGATGACTGTACGCAATTCCGCGGGTAGAACGAGTCGGTGGGGACGTTTAATCCGGAGTGACCACTCTCCCTTCTGCTACTTCAAAGCGTGATATTCACCACGCGCCCACGCTGGAGAAGATGGTGCTACTCTAGGAAATCCTGGGATTTTCAAATCTCTGCTGTATTGTCGTAGCTTCGTAACTATGTTGAACGATGATCTCAGCGTGGGCAACATCGGCCTGAATGGCACTTCAACGCCATGTCAGTATTCCAATCAGTACCAGGGCCAGCCGAGGAAGGTCAAAGTGATCGTGGTTGGAGCGGGTCTCAGTGGGATTGCAGCGGTCAAGATGTTCAAGGATACCTTCAAAGATGGAGAGACTGATTTGGTCCTCTACGAGAAGAATCATGAGGTGACAGGAACATGGTTGGAGAATCGATACCCCGGGTGAGCAGCATCCGTCATTCAGCCCTGGCAATGTGGAGTTATATAGATATTCCCAATTTTTTTTTACCAAACTTTGGGCGTCATATTGACTGAAAACGTGGACGTTGCTAATTCCATGAATAGGTGTGCATGCGACGTTCCCGCACACGGCTACACATATTCTTGGGAAGGAAACCCGAAATGGTCTCGAGCATATGTGGGAGCAGTAGAGCTCTATGAGTACTTCAAGGGTCGTGCCACAGCATATGGAGTTTATGATTTTGTCAAGCTCGAACATGCGGTCAGAGGTGCCGAATGGGATGATGCCACTGGTGAGTGGGTGGTCAAGGTGGAAGACTTGAAGACCGGAGCTACGTTCGAGGATCGTGGAGCAGTCTTGATCAATGCTGCTGGGTTCCTGAAGTAAGTCAACATGGCGAGTATCGACCGATAAGATCTAACAGGAAGCAGTTCGTGGAAGTGGCCCGATATCCCTGGCCTAGAGTCGTTCCAAGGCAAACTTCTCCACTCAGCAAAATGGGACGAGACCTATGACTTTAAGGGCAAAACAATTGGTATCATTGGATCTGGATCTTCAGCAATTCAGATCATCCCACAACTACAGCCTAGTGAGTAGATGAGACAAGAGGCCCAAAACTAGCTAACAAATCTTTCAGTTGTCCAACACATGACATCCTTCATCCGATCATCCACCTGGATCACACCGGAATTCGCTGCGGAATTTGCCCCTGAAGGTCGTACGGCATTCTTCTCGGAACGACAGAAGGAGGAATGGGTAAAGGACAAGACGAAGTTCTTGGAGTATCGAAAAGCAGTCGATTCATCAATGAACGCATTCTTCCCTATGCAACGCAAGGGTAGCAAGGTCAACAAGGATGCATATGATGCCTTCACCAAGACGATGCGTGAACGGCTGTCAAAGAAACCAGAGATTGCTGATGTGCTTGGTATGTACGCGTCGAGACAACTTGATTCATTTTGGATGATTCTAACTATGTGTGAACGTACAGTTCCTAATTTCTCCGTCGGGTGCCGCCGTATCACACCGGTAGGACCAATCTTGATTCAAATAGATAAGTATCTGGTCATTTAGTTGACTTTGACACTAGGGTCACGGCTACCTCGAAGCATTAACATCAGATAATGTCACGGTTCGAAGCGACGGAATTGAACGCATCACTCCAGACGGCGTACAAACGAAGAAGGGCGACATCATCAAGATCGATGCCTTGATTTGCGCCACTGGATTCGACACGTCGTTCCGTCCAAATTTCCCTCTCGTCGGCCCACAAAAGCACGATCTTCGAGATCTTTGGGCCGAAGAGCCTCGTGCATACTTGTCAATTGCGGCGCCAGAGATGCCTAATTACTTTAGTTCGTGCCCCGTGTGTCCTAAAACAGAGATACCTGTCTGTGGGGCTCTTTTCTTCTACTAACTTTGATTTTTTCACAGTTATGAGCGGGCCGAATTTCCCATTAGCCAACGGCTGTTTAGTTCCATGTCTGGAACAGAACGTCAGATATGCTTTCCAGGCAGTACAAAAGATCCAACATGACGGAATCAAATCCATTATTCCCAAGGCTGCCGCTATTGATGCTTTTCAAGAGTACAAAGATTCTATGATGAACGACCTTGTATGGTCGGATAATTGTGTATCCTGGTAAGACCAACCCTAGTACCCGTGCTGCGGGAAGCGATATCAAGTGCTAACATCGTATTTGCCAGGTATAAAAACGGTAAGACTGATGGCAAGGTCTGGGGTCCATGGCCAGGATCTTCATTGTCTTACCTGGAACTGATGAAGACGCCACGGTGGGAGGATTGGGACATTGAGTACTTGAACAAAAACCGATTCCATTTCTTGGGCAATGGAACCACACAGAGGGAGGTCACAGGGACCGATCTAGCGTACTACGTGCACGAGCAAGATGCAGAAGAAACTAAAGTTGGGGGATCATCTTAAATGAAGCCCCTGAGTGTTGCGATGACGAGGTTCACTTAGATTCAACGATCTCGTTGTATAAACAAATTGCCTCCTGGGCTGATTGATATTTTGTGCTAATCGGTAATGTCATGGGTGGTTTCGTGATATAACAGTCTGATTGAGCCCTTCTAGGCGTACTGGAATGAGCATGGTACAAACTCCGGTTCCACAGAAGTGGACAACCGTTGGGCCACCTCGGCTTTGTCAAGCATCACACATTTATGGGGGATTCCCCCAGTACAAGTCCAAGAGATCAGACCTTTGGCTTCTATGTCCAACATTTTAGGAACATTCCCCCGGTTTCTGGAATCTTCGTGCGACACCAGCAGCATCTCCATTTTGAGATTTCTTTGTGACCGATCTCAATTTTGAAAATGAAACAACGACTCTCGCACAAAGAGCTTATACGAGAGAATCCCTAGAAGCTAGTTCGAAGTCTCTATTACACGTTGGCATACGTGGTCCTGGTACTACAGAATAGATTACTTCTTCCATTCGCCTGTCGAGCAGTACTCCGTATATGCCTAACTTAGCGAGCAGCACTAATACTGGCCCGAGGCGCCCTCGGCCTTCGTATTCCCCCGTGTTTTGCCTTGGAAGTTCGAGATCCAAGCCCATGTCCCAATGGAACACGTGCCTACCAAAATGCGGGGAAATGCAACCGTACGTCAGCATCATTTGTTCTATATAAGCGGCAGTTGGATTACATCTGCCGTGATATAATCAGAGGGACTATCTGTCCTACTTGTCGTCGCTCAAGCTTTTGTTGATCATCATCTGGGCTTTCGCCGACCGCAAGACTTTCTAGAAAAGACAAAAAGACAGTTCGCGGTGGCGACTTCTTGTGCAACATGCAATTTCAGCGGATGACCTCATCAACTTCACCCGCGGCCGACAGTCGAGGCATTGAAGCAAGGCCTAAGGGAGCCCAAATTGCAGACGGAGACAAGCCATTGACTTGCATGTTCTTCTTCTTTGCCAGCCAAATGAAACACAACCTCCAAGCAGCCGATCCAGACCTGGTACGCCGGGGCCGAATGCTGGATCGCCCGACACACAAGCTAAACTCGATGATTGACCGGATAGGCATGCACGCCTCATACTCGCCACTTATCGCAAAATTCGAGACTTATCCTGTGGAGATTCCAGAGCCCAGAGCCGGGCCCCGTCCCAAACAAAGGCTCTCTCGTGAGGAGGCACACGACACGATCATGATGATCAAATTTCGTGATAAGAGGGCTCGAGAGGACTGGATTGCCACTAAAGAGTGGCAAGAGTTTGTGCAAAGTACCGACTCTGAGAGGGTCTTCCGGCGCATGCCGCATGTGCGGTGTGCTAGTAGTCTGCGAGGGTTGATGGATCCGGTCGATAGTTTACTAGCCTGAGTGGGCAAAATGGCCCGGCCAGGGATATCAGACCCTCGAGGTCATGTATGACGCTGCTTCAGATCATACCGGTCGCAGAAGAGCTGGAGATTGGGGAAATCCCTTTTGTGAATTGAGGAATATGATCGCCTTGGATTTCAGAAGTCCTGTACTCCGGTCTGACCCTCGAGTTTCCTCGTGGCGTGTTGGTGGTCCGAAGCAACGTCAGACTCGGCCAATTCGTTGTCTACAAAGCTCGGAGACTCTTGGTCGAACCATCTCTCCTCAGCCTCCCTCTCTTCGACTAGCCGATCGTCAAAGTCGGGGTTGTTGTCGACTCCGCTGTATTCAAAATCATCGTCTAAACCCATGACAAACCTCCTTTCCATCTCCCACCTCCATCGACTTAGACCTTCTTCTTTATCTTTGGGGACTTCATCTTTCTCCTCTGCTAGGATCTCACCGGAAGGACCACGCTTGTACGCGAAAAGGCTCGTCGCATCGGGGTGTCGTAGAGCGTCGAGTTTGGCCTCGCTGCGGTAGAGGTCGGCCTCGAGGACTCCCGAGTAACCCTTCTTGCGGCCTTCGGCCTCTCGTTCTTCGGCGCTTTGAAATCGTCGTATCAATCGGTCGTAGAGGAGTGGGTCTGTGGCGTCATCGCACGCGAGCCGTGTCAGCTATACAAATCCGATCTGTTTCCCGCATCTCGGAGTTGGTAACGGTGACGGAACGACCGCAGGTGGCGCAGGAAGGTGGGCGATCTCGCACGAGGATGTAGACAAACCTGCAAGCTCAAGCTGGGGCCCAAAGTATTCTGGATGGGTGTCTAAGTACCGCTTCCGTCGGTTCTTGACCCGAATTCGATCTGGAACATCTGGCTGTAAAGTCGATATCGTGGTCGGCATGGTGGGGTCTTGTGCAGAATTGGGATTTTGATCATTGCCATGGCTCTGCACCGACATTTCTGTCGTTGGAGTGAATCGTGGCATGTCTGTATGACATGGATAATAATCTCAAAATCCTGGGATGTCAAGCAGTTCATAAAATTGTCTGTAGAGAAACTACAATTGTGGTGGAATTTATGAATCCCGCATGCGAATGCGGGAGGACGTCATCTTCATAGTCTTAGTCACCACCATTTGTTAATCACAATATCACGTGCATATCACATGATTTCTTGACCACCATCTTTACACACACAATTAAAACAGCCTCGTTCTTGATTCCAGGCTATGCTATGGTTATGCATACTGATTTACTGTATAGGATCAAATATCTTCTAGACTTCAACTAGGGAATCCAAGCATCAATTCCAGGCGGGGTATTCAATACTTCAGGATTGTCCTTATGTTGGCATCAATTCGTAAATTCGTCATATTCATCTCACATCAATACAAGGAAAAAATCGGGGTCCGCCGTAACCATGGGGGACAATGGCTTGAATGTCGATGTTTGTGGACGGGCGGTGCGCCCACAATTTGACCAGGATATACCGTCCAGATCTATCATTCAGTCAGTATTCGCCAGAGCAAACCAAAAGTAGGAGTACATGTTCGAGGGATGCTCACACTGGAGGGTCAAACTTGATTGACGTGCTAGACTTGCTCCAGTTGATGAAGAACCGGGCGTGTGGAGCAAGAGCCTCGCTATCCCTTGAACTACACCCTCTGGTTTCGTTCCTCCCCTCCTTGTTATTATTACCGATAGAGTCAAAGTTACCATGGTATCTGACCGATGGATGATTTGGAGGATTCGATGGCTCCAAAAGTTCTCCGTCTGCTCCAAGTAACATCAAGCTGTCAGGCCGAGTCAACTGATGGGTGTTCGTGTGCGCTTCTTCGTCCTCTGGATTTTCTTGCCGGCCGGCGCGACCAAAAAAATCATCTCCTTCGCGGATTTGCTGCGCTCGTAATCGCTCAAATTCCATCTGTCGTTGCTCTAGCCGTTCTCTCGCATCGGAAAAGAAGACATCATTCCGCAAGATTCGGGCTCTCGCCTGAGCAATAAACTCTTCGTTGCTAGACTCGGCTTCCCCTTCCGAGTCACTTGAGGTTGCTGAGATGTTATCATTACGTCTTGTGTCTCGATAGACAGGACGATATCGGTCGACGTAGGCACGAAGAGAATAGTCATCCTCAGGCCAAGGGCGCGGCGAAACAGTTCCGTCGGGACTTTCTTCCTCATCCGAAGGATCGCCAACTGATACTCTGAAGCCTGGAACGAGACGCTCCTCCAGAGCTGTGTCATCCCAATCCGAGGTCGGGTCATTGAGATATCTCGACCGGTCAATGGATCGGAGAGGTGACCGAGCAGAATGCATGTAGTCGTGTGATGGACGGCTACCGTAACGGGTACGACGGGGCGGAGGAGACCAGGGCACGTCATGTCGAGAAGCCCTTTCCAAGAGGTGATCATCTTCCATGGCAATAAAGACCATGCCGTTCTGCAGTGGAGCATCAAATCCTGCCTTTGGTGCTTTCACGACGATCTTAGTCAGAGTAAAAGGCATGCCACCCACGTGTTTCAACAGCATATTGCAAGTATTGCTCTCAGTGCAGTACACGGTTGCGTCATCAGTCAGCACATTTTCGGGGTAGTTGTTGATTGGAGTGTGAGGGTTGGGATATTCCCCTCCGTCACAGCTGACAATGTCCATTCGTAGGGGACCGGGAACAACTTGACCATTGAACCCATATGAGAAGGTCCTCGGTTCCTCGTCATAAGATCCATCGTCAAGTTTGCGTCTCTTGGATCTCAGCCTTTCTGATCTTTCATTCGACGTGGGGATGGGAGGCGACGGAGAATTGCGAGACGGTGGCATTGGGGCTTCTGAGACGAGGGTCCTTGTTGGGTGACCCAAGCGGTCGCCCGCATACCGACGAAACCTTTCACTTGGTCTGAAAGCCCTGGCGCGCCTCCTCGCGGCCTGCTGAAGAACCTCTCGACTTAAGGTGGACGGGGAAGAAGTCTGTGGGGCGGTTGCAGACCCTGTCGGGCTGTCTTGACCTTGATCCAGTGTCTCGTACTCTCTTCTTCTAGCATCTCGAGCGGCTCTATCTGCAGACATTTGGTCCATCTCACGATCCAATGCCTCAATGGCTCGGTGTTGCTCGGGGTTATGTCGTTCTGAATTGAGAAGGCTCCGTAGGTGGTGAAGTCGTAGAGAAGTCTCTGACCTGAGGGGTCGATCATCGTCAGCCTAAGTCGGTGTGTCAGAGGATGATTTCAATAGCAGAGCAAGGTCATGGATGCCACAAGGTTGAACCAATATTGGCTAAACATACCATGATGGCAAGTAAAATGTAACGAGTCCTTCAATCTCTTGTGGGTGGAAGGGGTGTGATTTTGACTCTGTTGTGGGAAGGAAGAGGACACTCGCCAGCTCAAAATCGGAGAGGCCTGGTCAGACGTTGGGGAGAATGGTGACTTGGAGTCACCACGTCTTTGTGAGATCCACAGGTCAATGGAATTGTCGATAGTTGCAAGATCGAGACTTCATGATGAGACGCATGTCGTTGTAGGTCGTTGGTGACGCTGCCGAGCCCGTTGGTCACTGGCTGACAGTCAAGACAGGCGTGTTAGGGTCTGGCCACTTGCCTTGGGAGATTCGCATCTCAATTGGATGGCCCAGTAAAGGGCCAACTTCCACCAAGGAAAAAGGCGTCAGTTTAGGCGCTGGCCGACGTCTTGGGGGAGGATCCAATAATGTCCCGAAGGGGGCTTTAGGCCTGGCCCAAAGCCTAAAGTACCTGAAGGAGAGCGCCACGAGTGCCTAAAAACCCCAGTTGATGGGTGTCCCCTGCATGAAGCTGGCAAATGAGGGATGCAGTGCGGGGTGAGCCACATGCGCCTGCCCTAAGTGCCTCACTAAGTACCTACCTAGTACCTACTTGCTTTTATTATCGCAGGCAAAACCAATATCAACTTCCAATATCAACTTCTTCAGTTACACCGTTTGTTTCAATCCTGGCCAGCGTATCTCTTCAATTGAGATCCTGCTATTGTTGCAGATTCCACTTCATCTTTGGATAAAATCCTGCCATCTCAACCTCATCTCTTTCAACTTTGATGGTCACAATTATCTCATCCCCATCTTAACACCTCTTAAATCCTGCTCTCCGTGAGCCAGTCTACATCTCGTGTATCCCACCATGAGTGACGGCGACCTCCCCACAATATCGGCTCTTCCTCAAGTCAACGATGCCCCCGAACCTGACATTGGAACTCTCATTAATGTGCCTGACGCCTCTATACCCTACGTTGCCCAACCCTCTTTTCCAGACATGAACGGTTTCCATCAAGTTCCTGACCCCTCCTTGGCCAACATGCCTCTTCCTGCGAATGGCACCGATCCTGCCATATTCACAATGCCCGTCCAATCCGGCTTGTCTGCGGATGAGTTTGCTCTTTACGACCGACAGCTGAGAACTTGGGGAGTCAAGGTACAAGAAAACCTGCGTCAAGCCAATGTCCTGCTCATAGGCCTCAAAGCCCTGGGAACTGAGATCGCGAAGAATCTTGTCCTAGCAGGCGTGGGAACGCTGACCGTCCTGGACGGCGACGTTGTCAGCGAAGAAGATCTTGGAAGTCAATTCTTAGTCAATGAGAGTCATGTCGGTCAGAACAGAGCCATTGCAGCCCTCCCAGAACTCCAGAAACTCAACCCTCGCGTCGAGCTTTATTCGGACCCCAACGCCGCCGTTACCAAGGACCCCGAGTACTTTCAAAGCTTCGATGTCACCATTGCCACCGATCTACTCATAGAAGTGCTCGTGCACATCAATATGTCTTGCAGATTGTCCGGTCGCAAGTTCTACGCAGCAAACACATACGGCATGTACGGATTCATCTTTGCCGATCTCTTCGTGCATGATTTCATTGTGGAACAAGAGCAAAGTAACAAGCCTCCCAAGATCGGGGACATGGTCACCTCGACACGTTCTGTTACAGGAATCAGCTCTAACAAGGTGAACGGCAAGACGACCGACACTGTCTTCTATCAGGAAACATATTCTCCACTTCAACTTGTCAACCTCTCACCTTTGCCAGTCAAGGTCCGCAGTACCCGGAGAAGCCGGCTTCGAGTCACCCCGCTTCTTTCGTGCATTCGTGCACTCTTTGATTTCCAAACCCAATCAGGCGGACGGTATCCTGTTCACACCCAGCAAGACCTCGGCACTTTTACAAAACTCGTCAATGAGAAACATCTAGAGCTGCAGTTGCCCACCGAGACGTTGCGAGCGGAATTCCTGCGAAGTTTCCTGCAGAATCTCGGGGCAGAGATCAGTCCTGTCGCTTCGTTCCTAGGCGGATTCTTAGCACAGGATGTGATCAATGTTCTAGGCCAGAAGGAGGCACCCTTGCAAAATGTGCTTCTATTTGATGGCGAAGACTTCACCGCGTCTCAGTACAGCATTCATCCAATCAACGACGACGCCATGACAGCCATGGCCACCAATGGAGGTCATGGACTCCCTGCTGACAGCTCGATTCCAGTAGCCTAGACACTGAGAGTCAAACCTAGAAGTGGGACAGGGCCATAGAGGAGGCTGACTCAAGCAACGCGTAAAAGCAATGGCTTGGCGTGGTGATTTTTTAAGGTTGCGCCTTTCAGTAAGGCTACAGATACCCATGTAAATTATTTTCAACGGACGAAGGAGGACTAGCAACAACAAGTAATGGAACTAGGATCCTCGAGCCCGTCGGTCACCGTCAAGGTGGGGTGAAATGAATAGAGAGACGAATTTACGACCTAAGCTTATGATAAGGTGAAAGACAGCAAATCAACGGACATCCAATCCATGAATTGAGGCCGCAAGGAGCACAGTAAGCTGGTAATCAAATGTTGAATAATATTTTTTACGGAGTATACTGAGAAGTCTTTTACTGCCCAATTTGGAGGATTGCAATGGCTTCTAGCCCATTTCCCACAAAACTCAGCGACCTGAAATTGAACGACTCTACGGATAGCCCTTCATTTTACGCTCAACTACGATCCATTAAGAAATCCACCTTGTCCGTCCGCAATCGCTTGACATCGATTGTCATCGATGCAAAATTTGTCAAGAGTGTCTCGGACTTCTACCGGCTTCCACTAGTCGCTAATGAACGATGTGGGAGTTGGTACATTGATCCCCGCGACAAAGCTGGCAGCGCCTACTTCAAAAGCACCGATGGTCATCATGGCATATGGAGTTTTTCTCTGAGAAGACTCAACCTGCAACTCTTGCCTATCTTGGGACAGCACGGTGGAGCTGTTATTGTCGATTCGACCAGACGAGGGAAAAATCTTCCAGACGCGTTTAGCAAGACTGTACCAATCTGGGTTGCTGTCCTCAACCGCGCCTTGTTCCCGGAGTCGAAGGGATATCATGGATTTCAGGGTCCGCCTCCGCCAGATGATCTCGGAAAATCAGAGATTTCACAGATCGAGGCCAAGCTTGATGGCTTTGTTCAGGCTTTCTTATCCTTGAACATCGATCCAAGTGTCCTGCGGGAACAGCTCAAAAGACCTATCCGTGTTCACTGGGTGATAAACACAGGGTTTGACCTTGAAAAAGTGGATCTGCCTGACGAAACTCAAGAGGCAACAACTTCTACGCATGATCATCGACTTGTTTTGTGCTCAGCGTCTCATCGAGTGCATGGCGCAGAAGTCTCAGAGGGCGGATACATTCAAGGAGCGGGCGATGACAGCGAAGGGTGGTCCCACGGCCTAGATCCTACATTATTTTGGAAACACCAAGACAACTTGATGATGACCTCGGAAGAGGATCTCCCGGATCTCATCAAGGGGCTCCTTGCCGCGGAGGATGCAAAACCGGTGCAGTACACGCTGATTCAGCCTACGACACAGCTCTATATCGGCGCTGGGCCAGCCCTAGAACAAAGTGAATTCCATTTAATTGTCAATTGCCAGGGAAAATCTCAAGACACGTCATCCAAAGTACTCAATCTCGATTGTCGAGCGGGTAAACTGGGCAGCAAGGACCTCAGACAAAAACTCCCTTCTGCTGTCCATGCCATTTCGAATCAATTGCAAAAAGACCCGCAGAGTAGGATCTTGGTGACCTGCACCAGCGGCCGGGACCTCAGTGCTGGTGTCGTTGCGACTGTGCTTTGTCTTCTATTTTCAGATGACGGCACACTCCATATAAAGGATCGGGCGGTTGTCGTTGACAAACACCTCGTCAAGCAACGACTCGTATGGATCACCAGTTCCAAGTCAGATGTCAATCCTTCGAGATCGACACTTCAAGCCGTCAATACGTTCCTGATGCCGCCCTGAGAGAAAGAAGGGAATGAGAATTAGGCAGACGCGTCAAGTGACCGAGGAAGGTGAAGTAAGTAGCACCTTCCATCTGGCATTTGATGTTCGACCCCGCGATCCGAAATCGGGCGCGGCAGGTACCGTTGAGCTGCTATTGATGAGTCGCACCTGCACTGCGGGGCGAAGCGAGGGGCCCTTGCAAAACCACCAACAATTGCATCATCACTTCCCCCCTCACCTCATCGCGAATATTTTTGCATTCATTGTTTGATCCACAACTTCACTTCAACCTCAACCTCAAAACAGATCCTCTTTTGGCGACTGCCGTGGCGCAATCATGGGTGGCATCACCTTCGACAAAACTCTCCCCCTCACAAACTCATCCCTCACCATCCCCCAGCTCGGTTTCGGCGTCTACCTCTCTCCTGCAGATGTCTGCAAAGCCTCATGCCTGACCGCCTTGAACGTCGGCTATCGACACATTGATACAGCTCAGTTCTATGCAAACGAAGCTCAAGTTGGCCAAGCCCTGAAAGAGTCCGGTTTGAATCGCTCAGACGTCTTCATCACCACCAAGATCCTCTCTGCAAGTGGGTCGGTCGATAAATCATACCAGAAGTGTCTCGACAGTATTCGCAAGATTGACGACCGAGAAGATGGCTACGTGGACTTGTTCCTCATTCACAGCCCTAATGCCGGAAGCAAGGCTCGCAAAGAGATGTGGTTAGCCCTTGAAAAATTGCTGGAACAAGGCAAGGCGAAAAGCATTGGTGTCAGTAACTTTGGTGTCCGCCACATCAATGAATTGAAGTCTTTTGCCACAACATGGCCACCCCCGGTCAATCAGATCGAGGTATGCTTCACAATATCATCAGCCCCGTTCTCTTACATTCGCGCTCAGGCGTGTCTAACACTTCTTCTCTCCACAGCTTCATCCATGGTGCCAGCAACGGAGCATCGTCTCATACTGCGAAAAGAACAACATCGTCATCGAAGCCTACTCGCCACTGGTTCGCAATTACAAGGCCAACGACCCGACCTTGGTATCGCTGGCTAAGAAGCACGACAAAACCACAGCACAGATCCTCATCCGCTATTCTTTACAAAAGGGTTGGGTTCCGTTACCCAAGAGTGACAGTCCCGAGTATATCAAACAAAATGCCGACGTGTTTGATTTTGAGTTGGATGGGGACGATATGAAAACCCTGGATGACTTAGACCAGGGTGACGCTGGAGCCATTGTCCAGGCTGTTTCAAACGATTAATACTGGAGTTAACGGATGGGTCGAGGAAGATGTATCGGAATGCAGGAAATAAAATTTGGTCTTCGGAGGACAATCACTAGGTAAATGAATTCGTCAATTCCATCTGATCATACTTTGGCATCCACTCTCAGTAGATCATCTCCGACTACTCCCACCAATTCTCATGCAAAGACCTCAGGTCGACATGGTCGCCGGGCTTTTGCAAGTATCCAACTATATCGAAAGCGGGGTCCAACTCTTTCTTCGTCCAGCCGCTGCTCAAATATTCAAAGCGACCGACATCAACCGTTCCCGCTTGGCCTTCACCGCTGTCGAACTTCTGGTACTCGTACACCCAATCTTCCCACCGAGGCTCCTTTCTGACAACGGTCATATGAGCGGCGCTTCCTGGCCAATGTCCGTGGATGAAACTGCCCGCGATACCGCTGTTGGCCCATGAACTGCAATTTTGGGAAAAGACCGTGGCGGGGAAAAACTTCTGAGAAGCGTAGCGGATGAAATCGTCAGTGGCGGGGTCACTCGGGGCTATGCTTTTGATTCCCTGGGTCGACACCTTGCGCAGCAGTTTGGCATAGTAGGTGATTTGCACCTCGGCGGCCTGGGGAATCGTTCCAGAGGCGCCAGCAGCATGCGCACCAAGGATCCAAAGCAGGTTGGGGAATCCGGGCGTGGCCAACCCGAGATAAGTATGCGGGTAACCCCATTTTCCACCAGGAGTCCAGGCAGAACGAAGGTCAACACCCCCTGCCACAATTGGGAATGGTGGTTTGAAGTCGGTGTTGGCCCCCGTGGCGGCGAAAATGGCATCCACTGGACGATGAACACCGTCAGTCGTCACGATACCCGTCTCGGTGAAGCGCTCAATTGGCGTGTCAATATACGACACGTTCGGCGCAGCCACGGCTTCCAGATAGCCAGGACCAGGCGTCAGGCGTCGGCAAGATGGCGGAAATTCTGGGATGAATTTCTCAATAAACTCAGGCGACTGGCTAGCAAGCCGTTGCTTTACCAGCGCAATGGATCCTGCTCGGATTTTGGCATTCTGCTCGCTGCCCCGGAACACACTCCGAAACCCTCGCCAGTATTTCTCTTCGAGTGACTTTCGGTATGCCAGGTACACTTCAGGGTCTTTGAAGGATTCGAGCTGCTCTGGCGTATAGTTCTGTGGCTCAAACGTCCTAACGTCACCCGCCCACGTCGCTGCCACCCACGTCTTATTGCGAGCATAATGGTCGAGGTGCGAAACAATGGGTTGGAGATGCGGTGTGACTTGAATGCCACTGGCCCCGTTGCCAATCACTGCGACTCTTTTTCCCGTCGGATCAAAGGTAGCATCCCAATTCGAGGTATGTCGGAGAAGTCCTTTATAGTCCTTGATGCCGGGGTAGTCAGGCAAACGCCAGTCGTTGAAGTGTCCCAAGGCTGGAATGACAAAGTCAAAAGTTTCTGACAACGACGATGTTTCGGATGTGTCAAAGTTGATCTTCCAGTGCGAGGCCGCGGAGTTCCACTCAAGACCGGTCACCTTGTGACCAAACCGGATATACTGGTAGACATTGAATTTTCGAGCGATATCTTGCCAATAATTCCTGATCTCAGCCCCTTCAGCAAAGAGTTGCGACCACTGAGTGTTTGGCGCAAAGGTCGATTGATACACATTGGCAGGGATATCACATCGAACCCCCGGATAGATGTTTTCGAGCCATGTTCCTCCCTATCAAACAAGCACGAGTCAGTTAGGATTCCTTCCATCGTGGAACATTAGGTATTGTCTGCCCATACCACTTCATTATTCTTTTCAAGAATAGTCAATTGAATATTGGGTACTTTGGCCGGCAACAAAACCCCAGCCAAGATTCCCGCCAATCCAGCCCCGATCACAGCGACTTTCAAAGGTCTTGGATCGTCCACCGTCGGCTCATCCAGAGAAAATCTTGTCAAATGTTGAACAACATCACGTTCAATACCATTAGTCTGACCACCATTGGCGGGCGACGTGCTGCCGATCTCAGAAGAGATAACAGCATCTACCGAGTTATCAATAGACCCCATTCTGGCTGCTATCGTTTATATTATGCACTGGATATGGACATATAAACACACGACTAGTTAAAAGTCATGGTCACTCATAATAAAACATAGAGATAGCCGGCCAAGGTCGCGAGCGAACATAATAATGAGAAAAGTCTCCCACGTGTATGGTTCATCCGTTGATCACGTCTTATCCCCACCAAGTGACAACAGATGGAGACGACGAGTTTAGGGTTACGAGTAGATGGTTTGTCGTGGACATGTCCGTGGTGTAATCGATTATGTTGAATGCTGAAGCCGCATATTGTGGGAATACTTAAGTCATCTCTCTCTTATTGTACTTTTGCCATCGGCATTGGTCAGGTGGGGGTTATTGATTACTTTTGAGTTCTGTTCATGATTCTTCGTTGCGATGGTAGCGGATCTCTCGGTCACGTGTTAGGGTTTGATGATTACAATCTCACTCGCAGAACCCATTCCATGGAACTAACATCAATGATGATTTTCGAGGCACTGGGTGACTGATACCTAGGTATAATATAATATAATATTAGACTGATACAGATCAAGCTATCAATATGGAAAGACCTCTCCAGGAATAGCTTGATACTGATCCACTTCATCCAAGGCCTCCCTGATAATCGCCGCACCAGCTTCCAGCTCCTCATCCGTCATAATCAGCGGGAAACTCAGCCTCAGACCGTCTGGACGTGGATGGCAGAAGACACCCTTATGCATACACAAGGCAGCGAATCGAGCACCATCAGTATCGTGAAGAAACAAATTCGAATCCGCGCCCATGACAAAGACATAATTCACCTTTGGATGGTTCCAACCCTCGACAATATCTTTCCATTTCTTTCCCAACTCGAGTGCACGGTCGAGAAGGTTCTCTTTTTCAATTGTTTCGATGGTGGCTTGTGCGGCTACGATCCCTAATGGTGTATTGCCGAACGTGGACGCCATTTCGAATTGACCGACCAGGGACATGACTTTGTTGGTTCCCAGGATGAAGGATTGAGGATATACGCCTGCGGTGATGGATTTGCCCATGGTCACAATATCGGGTTTGCAATCGTCGCCGAGATATTCATAGGAGAGGAATTTCCCCGTCTTGCCGGCGCCTTGCCGGACTTCGTCGGCGATGAAGAGGACGTTGTATTGTTGGCATAGGTCGTAGACTCCGCGGGCGTAGATCCGTTCTTCGTCCACGGTGCGAGATGTGCCGTGGAAACATTCGATGATGACGCCGGCAATCCGGTCGTGGAATTGTTCGAGACATCGTTGCATGGCAGGCAAGTCGAGATATGCGAGGCTCTCGCCAGATGGGCTGACGTTGGTGACCATGGAGCTTCCTAGGCCGTAGTCCTTGCGTGTGGGACTGGGATCCATGAGAGGCCAGACGCTGGATCCCAGGCCATGGTAACAAGAACCCACGCCTAAGACTAGACATTCCTCTGCTGTGATGCCTTTGGATTTGATACCCCATTTGCGAGCGAGCTTACATGCCGTATCGGCCGCTTCGGTTCCTGATGTCATGGAGATGATTCGATCGTAGCCGAATCTGTTGCACATCATCTCGGCGAACGATGGCCATAAGGCATGGTGGCCAGCCAGGTTGACTAAGCATACTTTGCCCATTTGTTCAATTACTTTGGATACCACCTGGGGAGGGTTATGGCCGAGATTGGCTGCGCTGAACATGGAGATGAAGTCGAGATATGCTTTGCCATCGACGTCCTGTCGAGGGGTTCGACTCAGTCATTCGAGTCCTTGATAGATAGGAAATGAAACAGCATCGGGAACCTACCCAAAGCTTGCAGCCCTCTGCTCGAGCCAGCATCGCAGGGGTTGGTCGGAAACCTCCTACACAATACTTTGACTCTTTGTCGAGAAGACTGATAGTTGCTTGCGAGAGCTTCAATGGCTCCAGAAGTGGTGCGGACCCCATCTTGGCTTGGTTGTTTGACTGGTGTTTACCAGTGCAGGAGTGAATGGGTGTCGTATATTTCGGTGTTCTCAAGGTCTGAGGCCAGTGCGAGGACGGGGGTATGTATCACTCCAGTATACTAGTCAGACTGTAGAGGCACGGGAGTTATATAGATTTGAATATCCCAAGTCGCGATCAGGCGCTTGATAGCAGAATGTCACGACATCTGATAAGCGCGAATCCCCCGACATCAGGGTACGGCCGTCAGTGCAACAGGGGAAGTTATGAGTCGACGTCTCTGATATGATTTGATATGATTTGACCTACCATATCGCCAGTTGCCATGAGCTGAGCAGTCTGCGTTTATAGTGGAAACTCTTTGGTCTCTTCCAGCCAGTGATAGAAAACATCTGTAGTCGAGGTCCCATCATAAGTTCCGGGTGGCTTCCCCTAAACGCGCTTATCTTTTATCTTTACCGCGCTCGACCTCAGTCGACAGGATATATATGACCAGGGAGGGAACCTTCAACCTTGTGAGCATTTTCGATAGCAGTGAGAACGATGTCTCCTGTGGTATGATCTATTATGTCAGCCTTACTGAATTCCAAAGGTGAGGACACATTACAAGAGCATTGGCCCGAGAAGTCCTGCCTCGTTTTGGTGGGGATTGGGGGCCATTTGCCTAACCGACCTTGAGGGTGTCTATGCTCGGTTGGTTTCTCCAATTCTCTAGGTCTTGTTGAACCACCACCATTTCATCCGTGGCTTGAGTCTCATTGTCGTCTGAAATGAGACCTTCACACCGGTCATGTTTGTGCCACCAACCAACATTATCTGCAAGGTTGATTCGAGGAAGGAAATGGTAAGATCACGTGACGTTTCTGCTCTTTCCTCAGCACGGAGGAACAATGACTAATAAGTGGTTCCCCTGTGGTTCCCCTGTCCTACCCCTTGGTCGTACCTTCCTGGGTTCGTCTCCCTCTCGGCTCCTTCCACTCCACCCCTACTTGAACACACGTGACACATTATTTGGTATTCTCCTCCTGCTTCATATCACTCTTGGCGTTGCCTGATCCTGCCTTGCACCTTTTGATCTACACAGGATCTGCCTGTTGACTGTCAACGCGCTGTATCTCCACGGCCGCGTGACACGCTACCGTACCTGCACTCCCGCCTGGCTACAACTTCTATATTTGGGGTCCACGGGTTGAAACATCTCGGCATTGGAACTTGCACGAAATGGGTCTTTTGCCAACAAGCCAGAGCCCCAGCTTGTGCCTGGAGTGGAAAGGTCAATTCACCTGCCAAGAGAAGGCGAGCAGGCGGTCATGTCTGATTGGACAATAGCCAGAGATGACGTATGAGAATGTAGCCAAGAGCAGGGCGTTGCACCTGCTGCGGGAACCACGCATCCACATCCCAAACTTCAAGATTGGCACAGATTCGTCTTGCACTTCTTGGTCCTCGTACTCGTACCGAAGTACCGCAATTCCGTGAGACCATCACACAGGTCCTGGAAACGCCACGTCCTCCAGAATGGATGTGTTCGATACAAGGCTGGGAAAACGATTGCTTCGTGTCAAATGCATTCATGTCTTGGCGTTACTAAAGTATTGGTCGCAAATTCTGCCTCACCGGGGTCGCAAACAAGGACACATGAAGACAGGCAGAGATCCTGTCCCAAGATGGCAATACCCGTGCTCCGGCGCCTCCAAAGATTGACACTAGCTAAGCATTTTCCACATCCTCGGTCCCAGTTCAGCCAATGCAACCCACAAGGCAAAGCTCGTGGGGAAGAAGTTATATGGAACAGAGCTATATAGCGCAGATGCCCCCAAGGACAACAATCCTTGTGACTCTCTAACCAACCTCAACGAAATCGCCTTTTTCAAAAGGCACTCGAATCATGTCGCGCATTCTTTCTCTCACGGCGTTGGGGCTCGCCTCCGTCGCTGCCGTCATGGCACAGTCGGAACTCGACTTTCAGCCTTGTCCCACGCTGAACAACCAGATTTCCAGAATGATGAACGGCAGTATCTCAGAGTTCGACTGCGCGACTCTTTCAGTGCCTTTGGATTACACTGATACTTCATCCGGCAACCTCGATCTTAGCCTCTTCAGGGTCAATGCCACTGCAGAACCAGTCTTGGGTTCGGTCTTGATGAACTTTGGTGGCCCTGGAGGCACCGGCGCTGAGAATTTACCCGCTTTCGCCGAACTGGCCCATGCTGTCATTGGTCCACAATGGAATCTCATCTCCTGGGATCCTCGTGGTACTGGTTTCACCATTCCATTCATTTGCGATCTTGAGAACATTGCCACAATCCCAGAGAAGAAGCGACAACTTGGAACCTTGGTCAGCACCAATTTAACCCGTGTCTTCCTCAACGGCGGCTGGGAACTTGCTGGTGAACTCGCCGAGTACTGTGCTTCAGGCGCCAACGAGACTGCAGAGCTCATTGGAACCGCTTTCACAGCTCGGGACATGATGGAGATCGTCGATGCCCTAGGCGAAGATGGCCTCCTGCGCTACTATGGAATTTCCTATGGTACTGCTCTTGGTTCATATGCCGCAGCAATGTTCCCCGAGCGTATCGAGCGCATGGTTCTTGATGCCAACGTGAACCCTCACGATTACCAAGCCGGTCATTATGGACGATTTGCCAACGACATTGATGCTGCTTTTGCAGGCTTTCTCCAAGCTTGCTTCGACGCCGCCGATGATTGCGCCTTGTACTCACTCTTGCAACCCAACTCCACACAGGATCTGCTCGATGTGATCAATCTCGTCATTGGTCCATTCGCCATCAGCGCTGGTTCTAGCATTGAAGGATATCTCGAGTACCTCGGCATCAAGGGCATTTTCATTCAGCCTCTCTACGCCCCTTCTTCCTGGCCTGGATTTGCCCAACTCCTGGCGAGCGCCTTCAATGGTACCCTTGATGCCCCCTCAAACGAACCTGCACCCGTGCCTTATGGGGAGGCTGTAAACGCTGTCATCGGCATCCGTGCGAGTGATGCCACATTCATCGCCAATACCTCGGCACAATACCTTCCACAAGTGCAGTTCCAAGCCAACGTCAGTCGTGGCTTTAGCGATGTTTCGTACTTCACTCTATGGGCATCGGCACAGTGGACCATCCCTGCCAAAGAGCGTTATTGGGGTGACTTCCAGGCCAATACCAAGACTCCCATCCTATACATCAACGGAGAATATGACCCGGTCACTCCCCTGATTAATGCCTACAATGGAAGCGCAGGCTTCAATGGCAGTGTGGTCCTACCCCATGGTGGTTACGGTCATGGAATCTTTGCAGACCCTTCGTCGTGCGTCGCAGAGTATGTCCAGGCCTATTTCCTGAATGCCTCACTTCCCGATGAAGACACACGTTGCGAGCCAGACGTCAGCCTCGTCCAGATGTGGACAGCCACCGTGCAAGGAAGGGAGGTCAATTTCACCGACTCACTCACTGGTTCCGAAACTGACAACAGCGGAAGCGGAAGTGGAAGCGGAAGTGGCAGCAATGGGCAGGAAAATAGCGCCAGCCAAGGCACCCCTCGTTCTGTCTACGGACTCGTTGCAGGACTCGCAATTACCGCTGTGGCTCTGTTGTAACCGCCAGGCATCTACACACCTTGTACAAACAAGCGACTCTGGCCGCTAAGCCAAAAAGCAGGTGGATTTGTTACTCACAATTGTTCAGGTTGGATGCCTTGAACAAGTAGCACATCCTTGGCTTTAGTCGCAGATACCATACTTCTTTCGACGTAATGACTTTTCTACTTGTGTCACATACTAGATGTGGTTGATGAAGGCTTCAATCAAAAGTACGCCATCCGTGGCCATTTTCCCTGACCCGCAAAGGTCTCGTTGGGATATGAACCAGAAGTAGCCTGTGCCCATCATCACAGTTGTCCAGAACAAATTACTCAACAGAATCATTCTCGTTTATGTCCTTCAGATGCCCGTGACAGGCAGCCATGTTGAGAAATCGCTGATCTTCCCCACATTCACCGCTTTAAAAAGGTTGAAATTAGCTTTCTGGTTGTCCACGATTACTCAACATCCCTGTCCCTGTAAACGACTTATAATCCATTCATGCTCAGGACAGGTCGTTGTACGATATGTCTGCTCGATTTCCCAGAGATGGAATACGATGTCCAGCCATAAAGCTAATACCACCATTATAACGCGATGCATTTTGATAATATTGGCCAAATTTCATGCCGAGTACGATGACTTCATGCCACATCAAATCAGAGACTGATTACTCTTCTGTCTGAACGAAACCTCAACACCGAGAGTTTACCGTTTGTCACAGGAATTTCTCCCAACAAATTTCATCTAAGGCCACGTCGTCTCTTTCTCGTAGTCGAACATCTTTTTGTTCAGTATATATTTCAGTTCATAAACCTGAATCTGCATTGTTTCTTTCTTACAAGTCAAACTGGACATCATCATACTTCAATTTTCGTATCTCCAGCAGCTGCCAGCAATGTCCGTGCCTAAGAAAGAGTTTGAAGACGGTATATCTGTCGAGGAGATTCTCGAACGGAACAAGTGAGTAACCAGTCACAGCACAGTGTCAGGAATGGGGGAGGTATAGATCCGCTGATAAGGACGCCCATACAGACAATATGCTCAAACCGAGCATAAGAAACTTCCAGACCTAGTCTCCCTCATGGGAGGCAATCCTGCATTATATGGTCCACATATACTAGTTCGTATGTTTTTTGACCCGTCTCTGACTTTACAAGCCGAAAGCCTATGTACTATGTAATATATCAAACAATCGGATGCCACTAACATATCCCACCCCTCCAGTCTCCTGCCTCGATTCACGATCCAATCCGTACCAAGTTCTTGGCCTCAAACCGTACGAAGCGATCGTCCTACGCCACATCGCAGGGCGAATCAGCTCAGTTGAGCTCGACATCGCAGGATTAGATACATTGTTCCATCTGACGAAAATCATCGTGCTCCAGCACACCAACTGTGGGGCATCGGTCGTTAACCCTCAGATGGTCTTGGACAGTATCGAAAAGAAAAGACCTGAACTTAAAGACAGCGACTATTTGACTAGTCTGAAGGAGCAATTTCCATCGCTCGATCGTGATAGTCATCGGGGACTCAAGTATGAACTTAGGGCAGTCAAGGAGAGTAAGATTTTGCGCAAGGATTTGATTGATAATGTTGTGGGCCTCTATCTCAACGTCGATACGGGGTTGGTGGAACGCGTTTTTGAAGATTCGTGAAACTAAAAGATCGGGAAGTCAGGAAGGATTACTGTCTCTATCTGTCTCTGGTATGGATAGTGGAATTCATGTTGGACGTTGCTCGTCACCTGGGCCAAACACTAGGTCTGCCTCTTACCCTTTTTTCCCTTTTCTCCCTCTCTCTTCTCTGTTCTTGTTCATCGTCATACCAGTCTATATATGGCATTAAAGCCTTTTCTTTTGCCGCGAATGATGCATTGAAACGCCCAAAAGTCTCACCTGCACATGAGGTCTAAATCCAACGTACATCATCCAAGCTCAGATCAGACTTGTTCAACTGTCTATCCAAGATACTGCCGTCCGTCCTCGAAACACACTTCTTCAAATTCGCACCACCACTCTACCACCTTGTTGCCTCATTTTCAGTAATCCCCGATTGACACCCTCTAACCCATCCTCGACTCCAACTATCTCAGGTGATCTCAGCTTCCCCTCCGCAAGTAATCGCTCCAGCCAGACCACCAGCTTTTCGCCGATCGTAGACACTTCGTGAAATACTTTGATGGGTACAGAGTGGAGACAGATGGACTGGTTCAGCGGATCATCAACGTCGAGCTTTGGTAGACCCGAGAATCCAATAAGGTGAGATCGGAGTGGTGGGATCAGAGTTGACGCCGTCGACGTCGATTCTGTGGTCAAACTTGGAGTAGGTGTTGGTTGAGGTGTTGGTAACGAGGTAGTCGGGTCGTCGATTGTTGGCAGCTCATGGTTTGGTGTGGGTTTTGAGTACCCGGACAAGGTCTGTAGAAGATAAGTAGCTGACTCCTTACCTCTGGTGTCGATTGCGAAGCGAAGTTGGCCATGGGTGATATCTCGGACGATCTGGATGACTCGGTCGGGATTGTGGCTGTCGATGACAACGTCGGGAGCACAAGCATTGGCGAGGGATGGGCTGGGGGAGACTCGGTGACCGTGCTTGGCCTGGTCGACGATGCTGATGACCTTAAGACCCGCCATCTGTGCTAGCTGTGTGACGATGACTGCAGTTGCAGAAGAACCTGACACAAGTTTCATGACGATCAGTTCTCAAGGTCTTCCTTACTGTGGAACAGATAACAACATCAGTTGAGATGTACAACTCACCTCCCCATATAGCAATCCAGTCGCCAGACTGGACTCGCTCAGCCTCAGAAATCCCTTCACGACACTCACGCCGCACATCCTGTGGCAGCACTGACTCGTCCAATTTACGGACCTCTCTCAGCAAATTGGGCCCATTCAAAACTGATGAAAAGTCCAAGCCCGAGCAGATTCCCAGCGCTAGAACCGCCGCCACGAATGCCACACCTATCGTTGACGCATCTTCTGACGATAATGTCCTGGGAAGGCGAACGGCGTTGAAGTCGGATGCCACAGCATACTGCTGGAAGGCAGCTTTGCGTTTATCTCGGTAGTCGGTAGATGGGATCAGAACCTAGAGAGAACGGACCGATGACAAGATCAATATATATAAAGACAGAAAAATGTTGAAAACGGCGTCACATACTCGATCGCCAAGCTTGAGTCGGGTGGATGACGCGCCCTTTTGTACAATCTCGCCCACAAATTCTCGACCTGAAATGTAAGGAAGTTCAGGGATGGCAAAGTTGAATGCACTGTATTGGTCAGTCATAGGTCCTTTCACTATAGGAATGGTTGTAAGGTAGGAATGGGTTCCAAAAGCCATGTAGTGATTGACAATAGGGACTGTGCTAACTTACGGGGCTTTCCAATCGATCGGATTCAAACCAATACCGGTGATTCGGACGATAATCTCATGATCGGCAGCGACAATAGGGACGGGATGGTCAAGTGTGAGTCGGTATTCCTCTCTTGGGGCGTGTAGGAGTAGAATATTTTGCGTTGCTGGTACTTGGTATCTGATATCTTTATCGTCTGCCACGGTAGGTATTGGATTGGTAATGAGCTTGGCCTGGCGTTTGTAAAGAAGGGACGACAACCTTTCCCAGAATGGCCATGAACCCATCGTCCTAGCCTGACGAGAGACAATCTCTGTATATAACTTACGAAGCAACCAGGTTCTGAATCCCGGTGGCGATTGTCCAAAGCCAAGGGAGAGTGATGTTAAATGGAATTGAATACACCTACACCTTTTTCCTTTGCAAATCCAGAGATTCTCGAGTCATGTATGAGATTCTTAGCCGATAGCGGCATCTCAACCAAACGCGAGAGCTTGCTGCATTGCGTGATGGGCTCGGGGATTGGTTTTATTAGTAATTCCACTTTTCGACTGCCCCCTTGTGGCACCTCACTCGGCAGAACGGCAGCGGTTGTTAGGCTGGTTCACAAGCATTACTCTAAGAAGTAGGCCTTCCAGTCTTCTCGGTCATCTCCATGTTAGACCAGCGGAATTTGCCCATTAAAAGTCTCTGCTGGGCTGGTGGTAACATATCATCTCATATGGTGATAGCAGGCTGAACCCCTGATTCGATAAGATCACCCATCTTGGCACAATGCCCTGACCACAGAATCTGTCAACCAGGCAAATATTCCAGAGCTCATTCATGCTAAACCATCAATTGTAGTAAACAGTGGTAATATCCGTGCAATGCATGGCGGTAAGGAATCACTTGGTATAATGGTTCATGGCTTGTGTGACGGGTGTTGATTGTCCGACATGAGACAAGGACGGATGGCGCGAGGGGCACTAACGATGGCATCATTTGCTGCCACCTGAGTCGCCAAATCACTGACTCCAGAGTCTCATCAAGCACGTGCTTATGCAGTCTACATCATCGTCCATGAAAGTTCCTTTGTTTAGATATTAACAAACTTACTTATTTTGTAAACTGTTTTTTTTCTTTTGCATCAATGCGTGCAGAGATAGAGGCAGGGGTCGAATCTTATTGCGATGACCAGTCATCAGGGCTCCCCGGCCCCTGGATCAGCGAAGAAACAACTTATCCTTAACGCATTCGTGGAAAGCTGTGAGTACTTTATCTCAGCAAAGTTTGAAGGGCCATAGATTGACTTTTATTAGGTAGTGGCCATCAATCTCCAGGGTTGTGGACTCATCCACGTGACGAGTCTTCGAACTTCAATCAAATCGAGCACTGGGTGAATCTTGCTACTAAGCTCGAGGCGGCCAAATTTCATGGGATTTTTATTGCCGATGTTCTGGGTAAGTATGATCACTACGATAACACACTGCTAACCCATGTGCAGGTGGTTATGATGTCTTCAATGGAAGTCTAGATGCCGCAATCCGGTCGGGAGCGCAATGGCCAGTCAACGAACCCCTAGCAGTTGTTTCCGCAATGGCTGCTGCGACCAAAAGCATCGGTTTCGGCGTCACAGTCTCTACGACGTATGAACAACCATATCATCTCGCCCGGAGGCTTTCAACTTTGGATCATCTTTCAAATGGACGGTAGGAAGATCATGAGGCTACATCACCAAGAGCTTGATAATATTGATAATAATGTCGTTGCAGATTAGGTTGGAATGTATGTTGAGGGTGACCCAGAGCGGAACATATACACTAGAGCTCACCAGTCGTCTCTAGATCGTCACCGGGTACCTCGACTCGGCAGCAAGGAACCTGGGCCACACTGAACAGCCTCGGGTATCTATGACAATCTCCCACAATACCAGGCCATTACTAACCACCACCAGCACGACAAGCGATACGAAGTGGCCGAAGAGTACATGCAAGTCATGTATAAGCTGTTCGAATCCTCATGGCGAGATGATGCTGTCGTGAAAGATGTTGAAAAGCGCATCTACACTTTGCCAGATCGAGTTAGAGAAATCAATCACACAGGGAAATACTTCAATGTCCCAGGCCCGCACATCTGCCAACCCAGTCCGCAACGAACACCATTGCTGCTGCAAGCCGGAACGTCCAGATCAGGCAAGGAATTCGCCGCCCAACATGCTGAGGGTGTTTTTGTCGCAGGACATAGCCCTTCAGTAGTTGCCAAAAGTATTGCCGAAACACGGGAGCTGGCCAGCACCAAATTTGGCCGCAACCCCCAGAGCATCAAGTTCTTGTCCTTGATATGTCCAGTATTGGGGAGGACTCAGGAGGAAGCGGAAGCAAAGTACAACGAGTATCGCAGCTATGCATCTGTCGAAGGAGCATTGGCACTATTGTGTGGTTGGACGGGGATTGACTTTGGGAAGTATGGAGATGAAGAAGAATTGCGACAGGTAGAGAGTAATGCGGTCCGGTAACATGTCATCTCCTCCTGCGTTGACTAATTTCATCGAAACATGACTAAATGAATGAAGGTCTGCCGTCGAGGGTTTCGCCCACTTGGCTCCCGGTGTACCAAAATGGACAAAATGGACAGTGGCAGAGCTCATTACTATTGGAGGTCTCGGCGCAACCCCCGTTGGTACTCCAGAGCACGTTGCCGACGTTATGGAACAGTGGGTGGCAGAAGCTGATGTGGACGGATTCAACTTGGTAAGGCGACGACGACGACGATGACCCAATCTCGAGTCCCTAGGCAACTGACATCTATGCAGGCATATGCGATTTTCCCGTCTTCCTTCGAGGATATTATCGAACTCTTGCTGCCAGAATTGAGGAAGAGAGGGCTGTTCTGGTCCGATTATACAGTTCCAGGCGGAACATATCGTGAGAATCTATATTCCGTCTTGGGTCAACGAGGGCCCCCCGATGAACATGTCGCATCTTCGTATCGGTGGAAAGCGGGAGTTTCAAAAGAAGACCATATTATTCCCGGAAGTCAGGGTGAGTAGACAAAGGTCCTGAAATATAATTACATGGTCAAACAGGAGAGATGACCCACAAACACCGTATTGCATCAAAGTCTCACAAATGACTTATCGCCATAACGATCTTCTCCTCGCCGGCTGCGCTTCTGTCTCAACCACTCTTCCAATCGAGCTTCGTCTCCTTCCGGGGAGAAGCAGCGACAGGGATTCTCTGCTGAAAACACTAGTGCCACCGAATGAAAATAGACTCGAATTGTCCGATATCTCGCGATCAAGTCCAGCATACGGACCGACATGAGATTTGTAGTCATGCCAGGCCAGTTGGATCAATGGTCTTGTTTGCTTGCCAACAGCAATGTCTTTTGGAACCTTGGATGCTACTTCGAGCAACTCTGCTCTTCTTGTGGGCTCCACTTGAAGCATTTTGGAGATGATGTCTCGCATATATGATGGGACAGCAAAGCGATCTGGATAGGTGACGACTGGGACTTTGAGAGCCTGCTGGGATGCAGCAGACATTTTCCTTTTGGGAGCTGGTGTATCTCTACTATCGTCGAAAGCAGGATGCGCTAGAGACGATAATCGATCGATTGAACCTGTGCACATGAAATAAAGCGCCACTCCACAGCTCCAAATTGTGGCCTTCCGAGCGTTATACTTGAGATTGGCAAAAACCTCTGGCGCGGTGTAAACATCGCTTCCATGTCGTTCGCTCACTGCGGCATACAAGTCGCCAGACTTTTCTAGATCATATGGGTGCACATAGCTAAAGTCGTTTATGCTCAGACGCCCCGATTGGCTCACCGAAAGGGTGTGGTTCGTGATGCGCAAATGAGCAAATCCCTCGTTGAATATGACAGCCATTCCCGCAAACAATTGGGTGACTAAAGACTTGATCTCGTCGTCTGATAGAGGATGGTGAGCTCGCACGTATTCATCCAGCGATACATCATCACGGAACTCCATGACCAGCCACAAATGTGATTGAGATTCTCGCCACTCGATCAGACGCGGAATGCTGGTATCAGAGATGGCTTCCAGAGCAGCGATTTGTCTCCTGGCCGCCTCAAGGCTCACAGTGTCATTCTTTGGCACCCGCCTGAGAAGAACCTGCTTGATTTAGAGTGTTTAGGGCTTTATTTCGAGGAAGACGAACCTTTGCCTGGTCCCAGACATTGGTCGCCACTTGACCAACACCCTCAAGATTGGGGTCGGAGGTTTCTTCTAGTACATAATGACGGAGCAATTCTTCCTCTTCAATCCGGTCGTCCATATGGGCAGATTCTAAAAATAAGGACACAGATGGCTCTACTATTGAAAATCAGACATAGCGCACCTTTATTTGTAGTCATAGCCTGTCAAGGGAAGATGTACACGAAGGAGCTCACTCTGAGCACACGAGAGCACTCAGCCGACCCGTACCGCTTTTAAGCTTAAACATCACGCACCCCTCAATTGCTTCCCCAGAGTATGACATAATAGATCTCTGTTGTCGCGCTAGACAGGGGTTCTTTTCTTTGGGTATAGAATAGTCTTTTGCATTCATTTCCTCTCCGCGCTTATGGTCTAGTTATGCGAAGACCTGCAGACGACCTGAAATGCATCCTCCTTGCCTATCCTCCTTAAGTTGTGGAGACTTCGATACCCATGACCGCACAAGATTGGAGCTATACTTGCAGATAGTCTGATAAGCTTACGGTTGGATGGTCATCCCAGATAGTCTAGGCATATCCAACACAGTCCCGCCATAGTCTTCCCTCCAGCAATGCGCAATGATAAAGTCATTGAGTCAGCGTACTCTCCTGATGACAAGAACGACTATGACTCGTCTCAGTCTCAAAGCGCCATAATCACCCTCACACGATTCGACATGGCGAGGCGCGTAGCGGTGATATAGGGAGCACTTGGCTCAAAGCCATGAGGCAGACTGGGATAGACATGTAACTCGATGGGAATACCCGCAAGAGCATGTCTGGCCGCATAAGCGATATTTTCGTCTCGAAAGATGTCGAGATCAGGGACATCGCAGTACAAAGGAGGAAGACCAGCGACTGTCTCGACGCGAGCGGGTGCAGCATAAGGAGACACGCCTGGTTTAGCGGCATTTTCCTTTCCGATATATGCAGCCCAACCCGTCAAATTGTCGTCTGGTTGCCAACTGGCAAGACCTTGCAAGTGTTCAAACCTCGATTGGTTACGATCGTCCAACATGGCGTAGATGATGATCTGTTTGGCAAGTGGAGGTGACAGGTTTCGATCTCTGGCAATAATCGCCGTGGCTGCCGCTAGTCCACCTCCGGCGCTGTCGCCCATGATGGCCAGACGAGCTGGGTCGATGCCGAATTGGCCAGCGTTCCGATTCAGCCATTCTAATGCGGCATAGCAGTCCTCTACTGGTGTGGGGAACACATGTTCCGGGGGGAATCGGTATTCAACAGCGAAGAACTGGACTCCGGAGGTGGAGACGTAGGTTTGGATGACCTTGCTGTAGAGTGGCACGCTGAGACAGAAAAATCCACCGCCGTGGGTATAGAGGACGGCAGAGGCTGAAGGAGGAGTTCCTCTCTTGACGAAGTGGTGTACTGCGATCTCAACGCCCTCGTGGCCTGGGATCTTTATTATCGTTTCTTCCACATCTGTAACTGTTGGGTATTTGGACATGTATGCTGCCCACATGGTGTTGATTCCTGTCCGTCGAGGTGCCACTTCATAGGCTGGCGCTTTGGGAGCCGCTCTCATGGCTGCAAGTGTTGGGCCGAGAGCGGCCGCATATTCAGGATCCAATTTATGCACCATGTTGGGTTCTCAGGATCTAACGAGGTATAGAGCGAGAGCAAAAGCAAGACAAGAAATGGTGGGCAAATCTTTGGTATGTTGCACAAGCTTCTTTGATCATGTAATCTATCGTCAATTGTAGCACAAGACCATGAATGACAGGGGTTCACAGTTCACATTCAACACTGAAGTAGTCGTCTTTTTGTTCGGTACACCTCGGTTATTATGGGTGCCCGAATGGTGTTGAAAAGGTGGAGAAGCAAAGGTCAGCCGTTCCGTCGTTCCGTGGATTTCAGCATCAGCTTTCTGTCAAGTATAGGCTGGATTAATCAGGCTGTATAGACACTTCTATTCGGTCAGGGAGGTGACTACAGCTAATAATAATTCTTCTGGGCAAACTAGATAATTCAAGACCCAAGTCAAACAATGACTCATATTACATCGACTCCAAACTCCATGCACAGCTTTTCAAAATGTCCTTCTACTTGGAGGAGCAAGTGTTTCATAGCTCAGGGACTAGCTATCAGGTAGGCGCCATTTGAGGTGTTTTGACGGTGGTGTGGCAGCCTCTACCGTCACCAGTGGCGGTGCAACATACGCGTTGTTGGGATCTGGCTGTAGTATGGAATCAATCGACGTGTTGCCGAGGTCGAGCTCCTCAGTCGGAGTCGAAGGAGTCTCGGTGCCTGGAAGTTCAGGTGGACTAGTCGAAGGCCGTTCGATAAGGCTAGGATCGAACTGAGGATCGCCTAACTGGTCATTTCCCAGGCCTCTTCCGTTATCACCATCGTCATCTTCACTTGTCTCTCCCAAGCTAACGGGCGTTGGTGGTGAATACAAGTCAGCTGGACTTTGGGCATCCGTGGTTGAATCCTCCGAGGCCACCCGTCGATGACCCTTCAGTATACCATGACGCTCAGTACTTCGTGCGGAGTTGTTCCTGGTCACCGCAGGACTATGATTGGGGGTTCCCGTAATGGGTGTATTCGACCACTTTGCGCTTGGAGACCTAGCGAGTACGCTTTGCACTAGAGGCAACTCCAAATAGCTGTTGAGATTTCCCTTGGAGAAGATGATCAAACCAAGACATGTCAAGATCAACATCATCTGTAAGAATGCCATTCGTTTCTGGAAAATGAGCTCATCAGCGAGAACCCCAAGACGTGCGTTGATGGCCCCGTTCTCTTGCTGATAGCGTTCACGCTGCATCTCGAGCTCAATCACCGTGGATTGCCAGAGTTGGTCGTACTGCTGGCGGAATTCGCGTAGCTCATTCAACACGGTGGCATTGAGTTGGTCTAAAAATGAGGTGGTCTTGGCCAACTGTCGTTGCTCAACCTTTCGAAAGGCGTCTCGAAGTGCTCGGGATTGTTCTTCGATGTATTGAAGAGACAGTGACGAGTTTGATTCGAGCATTTGCAGCCTTTTTTGCACAGACTTGAAGAAAGATTCTTGCATTGTTGGAGCTGCTGGTGCCGGCTGTGTTGATGATCCTGAAACTTTGGTGGAATTGACGCTGGAACTCGTGGAGGTGGATTTGATTGATGACGAATTGTTTGACTGGATGCTTGTGGCATTGGAGCCTATATCAACTGGATGCTCAGTCTTGGTCCCCGTGGAGGGTGATTGAGTCGCAGAAGACGAGGTGGAGTTGATGCTAGTGGAATTCGCGGAGGCTGCAGCTGTAAAACTGGTGGCATTGCTGGCCATCTGGTCGAGATTGACCGAGTGCTCTGCTGTGTATGACATATTTCTTTCGCTGGTGCAGTCGTTTGTGGACGATGTCCGATTTTCGGCATTCGTGACTTGGGAGGAGTTACGCTGAGAATTAGAAGTGTCCGGACTGGTGGTCTCGGAAAGTGACGAGGTCGTCGCTTCTGTGACCTGAGATGATGTTGAATCCAGTTCGGTGGTTGTGGCATTCTCCTGCTTCATATCACTCATTTGGTCCTTGACGGGCAGGTTTACAGACGAATCTGAACTGGTAGACGTGGACTCGACCGAAGTTGCCGAAGTTGCCGAGATTGCCGATGAAACATCTGAAACATCTGAAGAGTGGGGGACTTCAGATTCCAACTCATAGTCTGTCTGGAGCGACTCGAGATCGTGGTTATACTCTTCAAGCATAGTAGTGCCGTGAATCCTAACTAGACTGACGGGACAATAGTACTCGTTGCCATAATGGGTGAGAAACTCGATACGAACGTATCGAGCCCAAATCACAGGGTTCTCAACCAAGAATGCTTGGACCTCACGGGTATTGCGAGCCTCGAAAGTGCCTATGGATTTCCACTTGTCAGCCTTGACAGGATATTTGTCGGAGACAGTGACTCTGAAAGTGCGGAAGATGGAACTGAAGAACTCAAAATTTGCGACGACGATAGTGTCGATGGCGATGTGGTTGCAGAGTTCGAGAATGACATATTTGTTTTGGGCGGAGCATTCGTTCAACATATAGGCATCCTTATTCTTGCCCAGAATTGCTAGGGCACTCTTTGCTTCGGGGTTGTACTTGATCACATCGGCCCCGCAGTCGAACGAAGCATAATTGGAGCGTTCTTTGCAGGTCTTGCCCGCATCCTTACTGCGTAAACCTGCTCTTGGCCCACGGTCGGGCTCGAGAACCGTTGGAGAATCTGATGCAGGTTGTGGGGGACGAGGCTTTGGCTGGTTGATGGTGTCTAGTCCATCGGACACGAAGCCAGAGAAATCTAGATCGATCTCGGCATCGTCACCGAGGGAATCTAGCGAGCCCTGATCAATGGAGGAACGTTTCCGGGGCTCAGACGGTTCAGCGGCTGGACGATGGCCTATCTGATCTGACTGGCCTGATTTCTTCAAATTTTCTCTCTTCCAATCCTCAAATGAAAGAAATTTACCCTCCTCCAAGGGGGACACATCTTCTCCTTCTGGACTGGGAACTTGTGTGCTGGCAGCAGTAGACTGGGTGGTCGTGGTCGTGGTCGTGGTAGACAGGGATGAAGTTGCAGGTGTGGGTGATTCTACTGTTGTCTCGTTTGTAGGAGGCGTGGAGGTCGATAATGGAGGACCCGAAGTGGCAGAGCCTGTTGTCGTTGGCCCACCAGTTTCAGGCGAAGTATTGACCTTTCTCGTCGACGTCAGACATTGTTGCGGGAGGCTGTGAGTGATATAGTTGATCGTCCGATATGGGCAGGTGGGAGCAGGGCTGGAGGTTGACGAGACGGTCGAAGTGAGGGCATATCGAGGGAGGACAAGGAGGACGAGTGCTAGCACGGTGAGATCGGGGAATCGCATGGCCACCGTGAAGAGCCGAGTGAGATTTGAGAAGGCATGGATGGGTGGCCTCTCGAGGAATTGGGGATCACTGATTCCTCCCCACTGCCTTGATGAAGGCTATACTCGTTTTGCCGTGTCTGAAAGCCCTCAAGGGAGTCGTTTGCACAAAATGGTGAATCAAGGGAGGGATGTCGTTGATGTTGTTCAGCAGCCGCTCCGAGGGAGGAGCGGACTGCCAAGACATGATACATTGACACGTGACTGCCGTCCAATCGAACCCCGCAGTTCAGTCTTCAGCCTGTTGAGCCTCAGCCTTGCGATGACTGTCTTAGTCATCAAATATTACATCAGCTGAAGGGCCCCACATCAGATCTCATACATGAGTTGAGCGATATAATTCCAATCAGCTCGATTGCAAAAGAACCGCGCACACACGTATCACGGACACGGAGTTATCATCTTCAGAGCCGTCTTGTACAACCGAAAACCGGACCAAGATTCCAACATAAGAAAAGTGCGGCTCAGAAACCCGAATGTGTCAACTCACATGCTTGCTTGGCTAGGCACTCGACTCTTCATAGGCTAGGTTAACTGTTGGCATATCGTCAAACATCCCGCTCCCAATCATTATTCCCTCCCCCAAGCCCTCGCTCTACAAGTAAGCGCTGGCGCATTCACCCGATACCAGTCTGAGAATCGTCGCTGGTCTGGTCGCTGGTCGCTGGTCGCTTAATACAGTCAGGTTGGAAACCTGTGGCAAGGGATTCCCACTGGTGATAAACACCCCATCTTTCTGATCTCCCGTGATCTTTGCCACAATCCCCACACCATAAGAACCCAAGCTTACCAAAGCTCGGCCTTAACTCTCTCGCCTTACCCAACTGATAGGCTTGGTCGAAATCCCCGGTCATCAGTCCACACGTTTCACCATCATCATCTATTTTTCACGGGCCGGGGCCCACCATCCACCCCCCCTCCAGACAACAATCAATACGTTGAAATCGGTTTCGGGGTCCCTGAATCGTGCCTGAAGGGATCCCCGCCCAAAGAATCTCTCACATGGCCGAACCGAGGGATATCACCACAGAAATAGCTTCGTCTTCGGTCAGTGTGAGGGGTCGAGGTCGACAAGTTTCCGACCCTCTGAATCGCGTGACTCCAACTCATTCAGTCGCACGGGTAGGGGTATCACAACCACAACAACCAAAGACTCTAAAGAACCTGGTTCGAAGAAGCCACACCAAGTCCAGACGAGGCTGTTTCCCCTGCAAAACGCGAAAGATCAAATGTGGAGAAGAACGTCCGTCCTGTTCGAACTGTATCCCTCGAGGTTCAACATGTGTCTATCCAGCAGAAGCACGCGACGACCTCCATGGACCAAGCGACTTCAGCAATCGAGTCTTCATCCCCTTTATTCCCAACATGCAGAAATCTCCAGCACGCGCGGGCCCAACGTTAAGCAGCCTGGAAATGCATTCATTCAACCACTTCCTCACCTCCATGAAACACCCTTTACCAGTCGGCAACCATTCAGTATGGGTACACGAAATCCCCCAACTCTCCGACCAACACGGGTTCTTGAAACACGCCATCATCGCCCTCGGCGCATCCGATCTCGCTCGATCAAAACTCCCCACACCACCGGACTATGACATTCTCAAACATCGAGGCCGAGCACTCGCCGGAATGAACAAAACACTGAACAACGTCTCCACATGGACAACCTACGGCTACGCCGACGCCCTCCTCGCAACCTGCTACGCCTTGATCTATCAATCAGCCACCATCCCCGACGGCATGAACGATTACTACACATTAGTCCAAGGCTGTGCTCTCATCACCAGTAAAATCATGCAATCGAATCTCAAAACCGTTCTCGCGGTGTCTCCCGAACATCTCCATTCCAAAGTCCTCTCTGGAGTCGAATACATTTCTGCGCATTTAACCGACATGTCCGTCCCTCGCTTCGCATTACGGTCATTAGAAGGTCTCCAGGCCGATATGACGCCCGATTCGACGGAATATCCCTTCTGGCGCGCTCTTTGCGACACGTTATCGCGATTCGTCGAGGATCCGGTATTGGGATACGCGCATTCAATTCTCGCTTATAGTCGCTGGTACGTTCTTGCCGTGGGTTTGTTAGATGGGCTATCGGATCCAGATAACGACACGGCCGTGGCGCTAGCAGCAATCTTCATGGCAAACATGGTCTATCTCAAGGCTCTACTCCCTTATCAAACCTGGCCGAATAGCACAATGCCACTTCCGTTGTCTACTCTGCGGCAAATGGCGGAATGGATCGATGTTATCCATGAATCTATTGGGGCCAAGCAACGTCAACATCTCGCTTGGCCGTTATATGTGGCTAAACTCGTCTCTGCTCTTCCGGTTGATCCAGCAGATCAAATTGCTCCTGCTCCTGCTTCATCCTCCTCATCCTCATCTTCTTCCTCTTCTCACGATACCAAGTCTCCGAAACGTCGAGTCTTGCAGAATCTTCAGTCTAGGTAAGTCTGCTCCTTTTCCCCCTTCGAAGCGCTGTCTGACTAGGATTTACAGCGCACATATGTTCCTTGGAGCATGTCTCATGGCCGGCTCTGTCGTCACATCGTGGTTTGAGGATTTTGTCACGGCAAATCATCCTCCCCCTAACAAAAGTCCTCCTATCCGCCAGCTGTCGACATGATGACACCGTCTTTCATCTCGTGCATGCCTGGCACGAAATCACATTTCTAAACCACACCGACATATATCATCACCAACGAGATGGAATCACTCCGACGAGGACGAGGACAAACGAGGCACATGTATCGGTCTATGATTTCATCAAGATGAACATGAGAAGTGTGCCCAAATTTACTCAAAAATTTACTACATCTCACCCAGAGACCTTTTCTTTGGTCTGAGATACCCGGCTTACAACTTGGCCTTGAACTTGGCCGCACCAAGCTCGTTTCGTTCGACACCCAGAGTCCTGAAGAGCTGAGCGCTACGTTCTTGCTGCTTCGCGATTCGAGCAATGATATCATCCTTCCTCGTCTTATTCTCTCTCTTGCCCAATTGCTGAAGATGGGCCTCATCTGGACCATCAGCAATTCTCAGGGTACGGAGATGAGCCCACATGCTGGCCAGAGGGGTATCTTGACAAACACCCATTGCACCGTGGACTTGGATGGCTCGGTCGATGACTTCCAAAGCCACCTGGGGAGTCTTGACTTTGGCCTGGGCGATCTCCTTGAGAGCGAACTTGGCATCCTTTTGATCGGTCTTGATGGCGGCGTTGAGGACGATGAGTCGGGCGGCATCGATTTCAATTCGAGCTTTAGCCACCCATTCGAGCAAGACACCGTGTTCTCGGAGGGGTTTGCCAAAGGGGACTTTGCGCTCGTCGTTCAATCGGTTGATCATCCACTCCAATGCTCGTTCACTGGCTCCGATGGCTCTCATGGCGTGGTGGATGCGGCCAGGGCCCAATCTTCCCTGCATGATCTCGTTGCCTCGTCCTTCACCGAGAATCATGGCATCCAGGGGAACCTTGACGTTATCAAAAGTAATATGGCCGTGGCCGTGAGGAGCGTCATCGTAACCATACACGCTCAACATGCGGTGGACGATGAGACCCTTGACATCAGCAGGAACCAACAACATGCTCTGTCTCTTGTATGGGTCTGGGTTGTTGGGGTCGGTCTTTCCCATGACGATGAAGATCTTGCATCGATCGTCACCAGCACCGGATGACCACCATTTGCTTCCGTTCAGGAGGTAGTGGTCTCCCTTGCGTTCAATTCGGAGTTGGATGTTGGAGCCGTCACTGCTGGCAATGTCGGGCTCGGTCATGAGGAAACCAGATCGGATTTCTCCATTCATCAATGGCTTGAGCCATTTCTCTTTCTGTGCGGCATTGCCATATCGCGCAATAACTTCCATGTTTCCTGTGTCCGGGGCGGCGCAATTGCATGCCTATTAGTTGAACCAGACAAAAGCTGTTAGCGTCGTCTGCGGCAGTAATAACAATATAACAACATGATAACATGATTGTTTCAAATCCAAGTATGATATATATCTTGACATACCTCGCTAGCAATTGTGCTCTTGCCCAACTGTTCTGCCATCAAACCGTATTCCACGTTTGTGAATTGAGGGCCATCTTTGAAATGGTTCTTGGGCAAGAACATGTTCCAGATGCCCTGGCTGCGAGCCTTGCGCTTGAGCTCATCCATGATGCTGGGGTGGCCCTTCCATCTTGCTTCACCGGTGCCGATTTGGGCAGCGTAGACGGCTTCTGCGGGGATGGCTTCTTCTTCGACGAATTTCTCGACCTGGAAGGAGACAAAGGTTAGCTAGGTATAACGAAAGAGGGGCATCTAACAGATAGCTAGAGTGGCGCTGACCTTATCCAGGAGCTGTTTAGCCCTCTCCGAGACAAAGGGCACGACGATGGGAGGGATTTCTTGTGACGCAGGCATTTTGGTAGAAGCACTGGATATTAAATGAGGGCTGGTGTATTTTGATTTCGAATCCTACTGCTCGTGAGGAGTCTCTCTAGGAGGATATAGGCAGAGAGAGATGGTAACGTAGACGAGTCAAGAAAGAGAGGAGAGGAGAGAAGGTCAGGGTCAAGGAGAGTAATATTGATTGCCTTGGTAAGAAAAGGGCCGAGGATGCGCTGCCGCTTGCGTACCCGACACCGACACTGACACTATTACTGTAACTAAAAAGTTACCGTGGGGGAATCTGAGATGGTGGGTGCTCTCAGTCACCGGCTATTCGTAGCAATGAGAATTGTTTGGGTCTTTGACTCCGCGGTTGGAGATCTGGGGAAGGGAATCCAGATGAAGAGGAGGAGAGGGGGAGAATTGCTTGTACCGAGGTCTCGGCCAACTTACCAAAGGGGAATAGGTAGGGTTGAGTTGATGAGAGCTAGATGTGGACGAGTACAATATTACCTTTATTAGGGTGTGTGAGTGTTTCTGTATATCATATCAAATACGACCTAGGCTCTGTTGGTAGAGATGGTGTTGATGTTTACATGGTGGCCAGTCTGAGGAGAATAGGAAACTGTTATAAACCGACCATATAAAGGGTACCTAGGAAGGTAGGTAGGGACTAGGTATTCATGGGACATTCGTGTGTCCTTGGATACCTATATTTACAGGTATACTTGGGCGGTGAGTCACTGCCTAAAGCTCCCATTTGGGTGCCCGAGGGACCCCTCTCGCACCTATAAGAATATATTCAGGCTGCCCGAGGCATCAAGCGGGGCATTTACGGGCGATCTCTACAGAATTCCCCCGCCTGCTGCCACCACATAGGTATTCACTGCGATACACTGATAAACACTAACACCATCACAAACTACAGACACAGAGATCAGATCACTTTCCTTACTCAGAATCCAACGTTTGAGGGGCGATACTATAATTCTCTGTTGTCGCTACCTCTTGTGCCATGTCCGGCACCAAAACATGTCTCAATCTAGATACTAGCTAACTAGAATGGTCCCCTTACTCAGTCGAAACTGAACAAGTGAACTCAGCCCAAACATCTTCATGTTGTAAGTTGTCGGGAAGAGAAGGAGACTTTTTTTGTTCGCGAATTGATCAAATTCCGCCCCCGGACCAACGATCGTGTGTGTCTTTTTTTCCATTGATGTTGCTTCCTCGCTTCTTCAATCAAAACATTGCGTGATCCAGGCCCCGATCCGTGCCAAATCCTATCATGCTGTTGCTGCACTCTTGTCGAATTCTCATCCCGTCAATGCTCCAAGCAAAACCCATCTCGCACCTTGCACCCACTGCAAAATCCCAAGCACCGACCGGTTTCGGTCCACAAATATACTGGTACACTCCATGACACCTCTTCAGAATACAAAGTCATCAGTGTCAAAGGTCCCAATCAATGACAAGCAGCGAGGGTGAACGTGGTCTGTATGTCCTTGCTCCCACATCCCCCCCTCAGAAACAGCAAATCCCCCGTTCAATTCTCCCAATCACACAATATTTTTCAAAAAGCTCGCAACAACTGATGCTCAGAGAATTACAAATGGAAGTTGTGCCAGCCTCCCACCCACTCGTTGGAATCATCTTCATCCGTTGATGAGTCCACAATGGTCTTGTTTTGTCGCCAGTCCTGGTTCAAATAAGCTGGTCGTGCTTTGCTCCGGCTCTCGCGGCGGTGCCACACTTGATGGTCCAAACCTGCTGCAGTAACCTGAGTGGGCCTCTTGCGTGAACCCGTGGTGAACGATCGTTTCTTGGTGTAGGTGCTTGATCGCTCTGGTTCCGTCTGAGGGTTTCGCCTCTTGTTGCCCAGAGCTGCCCACTTATCCACGGGAACTTCATGAGGTGACTGTCGAGGGCTTCTGAAACGCCAGCCCGATGTGTCATTCTCGTTGAATCCATGTGTACTTGGCTTGAGGGGCACCAGCGGACGAGGAGTCCGGCTGCGGCGTGCATTGCTGGACGAGCGACTCTTGGATTCGGTCAGGACACCAGGTGGGACAGGCAATGGTCGACGGCTTTCATGGCTCCAGCTTCGAGAGTTGCGGGATTGACGTTGCTCCACTTCAGCTTCACGTTCTGATTCTTCCTCGTCTTCTTCAAACATGTCGCTCCAGCTCTTGGCCACGGACTCCTGTTTGGCAAACACCGATGACATGGTGGGAATGGGCCGACCAGGGCGATTGGGCAGGGACTTCGGAATCGGAACGGGGTCGTGCGCCAGAGAGAACTTGTTAGAGCGAGGGATAGCCAGAGACTTGAGAGAACCGTAAGCCGAGTCAAAGGTCGACGCAGCTGAAGGGGTATTCTTGTGAGCGGAGAACCACGAGTCAGCCAGCTGGGAGGTCTTTTCAGATTCAAACAGGTCCTCGTCCAGCATGTCTGGGATACTAGCCAGTTGTCGTTGAGACTTGGAAGCGGAATGTAAGGCCTTGGCCCACGGGAAGGATTCTCCATCCAAGTGAGGGCTCTGGATAGAGGGAGTTCGCAAGGGTTCTCGGTTGGCACTGGCTCGGACAATGTCCCGTTCTTCAGCACAGAAATCATCGAGAGCTTCGTCATCGGTGGTGAATGAAACTGCACGCATGATGGCTTGCTTCATGGCAGCCAAGTCTCTCTTTGCGGGGTCTAGGGCCAGAGCATATGAAAGGATCTCAAAGGCGTCTTGAGACAAGCTGGGGAAGATGTCGAAGAGAGATTGGCGGTCTCGGCGATAGTCTGCAAACAAGACATCCGACTCTGTCGGAGTGACAAAGGGATTGCGAGCGAACAAAACGTTCAAAAGACAGATACCAATGGACCAGATGTCAGCCTGTGCTGGAGAGTAACCATTTGCAGAAGGGTCGTATTGCTCGGGTGCCATATAACGATCACTTCCAACACACGCCTCGTATGACCAAAGACTTCTGGTGGAGAGACCGAAGTCTCCTAGCTTCATGGAGCCGTCGTGGGTCAAGAAGATGTTCTCTGGTTTGATGTCACGGTGGTAAAGTCCATGAGCATGCATGTACTGGACAGCGCTGACAAGCTGAAGCATGAAACGTCGAACGTGGTCGGTTTGAAGTGGACCTCGGCCTAGGCGGATAGCCTCGTACAGGTCGCCCTGAGAGCAGTATTCCAAGACCAGGTAGGTATGGGATGGAGTCTCAAAGTGATGGATCAGATTGACAAGGTGGTCATGATGCTTGAGAATGGCATGGCAGGCAAGCTCCTCAGCACCCTCGTCAAGGGTGGCGCCTGCAGCCTGCTCGGAAACCGGAGGTTTGGTCAAACACTTGATGGCAACCTCTTGGTTGGTCTGGGTATCTTGTGCGAGGAAGACCATACCAAAAGAGCCATGGTTGAGAGGGGCAATGGTTCTGAATCTGCCGTCGAGCAGTTCATCCTTGCGGAAGCCATCCTTCATGCACTGTGTGGCCATGGTAAATTGATGCTTCAGACGAGTTTGCAATAAGGCGATGTGTGGGGAACAATGCACACTTCTCGACGGAACTCCTTTGTACAAGGCTATTGACAGATTAGAGTTGGCTGTACCGATTGAGAGTGGGCAAGCTCAGAGCGCGCAGAAAGGGTGTCGAGTTGTGGTTCCAAGACACCAAACATAAATCCACCAAAGTTCAAATGTTGCAACACCGAGATCATGTGAGGGGTGAGCGGATCGAGGGAAAATAGCGTATAACTCCTAGTAGTCGTGGGTGATCAGAGGCTCATAGAGTTGAGGGGTCGTAAAAGTAAACAAAGGAAACGGTCTTGACGATGACGCAGAGCCTGGTGGCCCGTTGTGCAGTCGAACAAGCAGGCGGAAAGAACGTGAGTTATAATGTCATGGCGAGAGATGGACTGGTACCGGCAGAGCCCAAGAAGTTGAGATGTGAAGGAGGTAGGTTGGGAGATTAGGTAGATGGATAGAGGTAAGGAGAGGATCAAGTAATGGCCGGGAGGCCGGAAGAGAGTGGACAATGAACCGAGCGGGTGCAGGAACCGTCAAACAGGCTCCAGGCACAAAGGCAGATGCCAGATGACTGACGGTCCCAAGTCGAAGAGAGTATGAGTCGACGACTTGTGATTGTAAGAGAGAGCGTCAGTTGACCAGTAGCAGGTACTTGTTTGTTGTGGTCAGCTTTTTGGTTATGGTTCTTTGTCTGATGGTCGTGGCCAGGTCCAGTGAGGCACCAATGACAACTCAAGGAGGAGGACTCGGCAAGCTGACGAACAATGAGCTCTCCCGGTTGGCCTCGGAGGGGTCTGAATCGTACGAACGACGATCAAGGAAGGCTATGAGGCGAGAGAGGTGAGATTTGAGGTGGGAGGTAGTACAGCTTTGGTATACTGGTCTGTTCTTCGCTCAGGTTGGGTATTAGGTGTGGAATTGGGTAGAGAGCGAGCGGTGGGGTAACGGCTGCTCGGTGACAGCTGGAGGAATGTGCAGGTGAGATGGTCGTCGAGAGATCAAGGTGAGGAGGTCGAAGGAAGGAACACGGCCAGGTGGTATATGACAGTAGAGAATGGAAGGACACTCTTGAGGGTTGATTATCACATTGCAGAGTGGTGTGTTAAATGGGAACGGAGAAGGGAGAGGCACAGAGGTCAACGGAGGGCATGGAAGAATGAGATGGCGTGAGGTTAAGAGTCAGAGAGGGCAGAGAGGGAAAGAGAAGAGAGTGGACGGTTCTGTGGAGGCGGGTGCTGAGGCGGGTGCTGAGTCTGCAGGTGTGTATTCGTAGGCTGTTAGGCGGGTGGTCCAGCGGTCTTGGATGTGCCTGGCAGCTACGAGTACAGGATCAACGCTTCCGAGTCCAAGGTATGCACGGGGCCCTGCGGCCGAGCTTGTCGTTGGTTGTTGGCAGCAACTCTCAATGTGCACCTGCAGCGGCCCAGTTGATGGCCGATGGGCCCAGTTGGCGGTGTCTGTTGGGACTTGGTTGTAGTGGATCGGGAGCACTGCCGAGTGGGTTTGGGAGGATTGGGAGGTGTGCGAGGTGTGCGAGGTGTGCTGCGAGCCTACGATAGAGTGTGGCGGTCGAGCTTGCCATTGGTGTTGCTACTCTTGGAAACTCTGGGGCCATCGTCCCTCGAGAGCCAAGGGCAAAGCAACGAGGATGGTGGCAGCTCCAGGCTAAAGGTGGCCACATCAGGATTGCTGCTGCAGCCAACACGGCGCCTAGACTCTGTCCCTTTGTCGCTCTCTTCCTCACCGTGGGGATGGCGTGGATGGTCAGGTTGAGTCGAATGACGCCCGGAGAAATCGATGGAACCGTCTGACAGAGGCAGGATCCAATGACAATGGGAATGTGGAGATGACGGGAGTCGACTATTGTTGTTCCTGCACCAGTTACTGCCCGTCTCGCCGTGTTGAAGCACTAATGAGCAAGCCATTGAGAGCCTGGCCAGGGTCCAGGTTTCTGGGGGGTTTCGTCAGACTAGACCGCTTTGCGACTAGAACAAAGGCACGAGCACTGAGTCGCAATTTCCTCCTAGCGCGTGATGGCGTGTTCGCAGTATTCAGTGACTTAATCTACGCCGTGAGCTGGGTTCCCTGCCTGGAGTGTCTGGCACGCCGGGGCTGACACGTTGTCTCGGACAGTGATTGAGACTGACGAACGTTTACAGATAGTCCACTGTCGATGATTCTGCAGGTGGAACGATTTGTCCACCAATATGACCAGACAGGCAGTGAGCAGCTGGGAAAGTAAGAACCCCTGATTGATGACAGAATGGCCAGTACTGTATTGCTGAAGAAGCAATTGTTGCACTAATCAAGTAGAAATCGCTCAACCCATCGCATTGGAAGGACCTTCTCGGGTAGGCGGCGGTGGTGGCCAATAGTGACGCCACAGAAATCACGAGCCTCGTGTGCGTGACATGGTCGAATTCAGCATCAGTGCCGTAGTGCGCCGATAACTACAGAACTACCACTGACGAGGATGATGAGGACACGTCAAACTTAGCACGATAATGCTATGGAGGGGCACTACTCCGTAGGGATTGATTGCGAGCGATGAAGCATTGGTTTCACGAGTCGAGGTCCAGTGCTCAAGGTTTAGATGATTGATCGAATCAGGGCCATGGATGTGATATTTCCGGCCTGATTGCTGATTGCCATACTCATGCGGAGTCGTAACATTGATTATCCGTGTGTGCTCGTGTGCTCGTGTACTCGTGTACTCTCTTACGTGTCGTGACACTCAGACAGCCATGCATCTGTCCGGACGGAGACAACACGCAATATGATAAGGGGTCTTAGCTCCTCGAAAGGGTTTGGAACAATTTCACGAGCTTGACAGATTGATGAACGCTATCAGTTACAAACCACAGGACTACTTAGTGACCACGGTATAAATATACGTTGCTGACCCATTGTTGTTGGTGACGGACGAGCGACGTGACGACTTACGACGGACGACGGGAGATCACCCCATGTATCATGTATGGATAGGGAGCTCTACCCCGCACAATTCGGAACCAGCCGTTGATGTTAGAGCAAGGGGGGTTTCCTATGTTTGTTCAAGGGGAACAATAATCATGATACTTTTGAGGAGAAAACAAGAGTCATGATTATTGCGACATGATTGTTATTGTTGATACTGTCTCACTATCCCGCCAGATGAAGCGAGCACGTGAGTCTACAGATACCGAAGCAAGATTGTAGGAAGGAGCAGCTGGAGATAGGAACAATGAGGAATGAATGTCATGTGACTTGACTTCAGAGATAAGGAGAACAAACCTCCTACTCCGTAGTAGCCCCTCCAGAAGATCTGCACCCAAGCTCCGAGTGACAGTGGCATCAGTTATCTGACTTCTTGACGTACCCTGTGCCAGTGCTTCTGCTCAGACCATGTTGTTGATGCATCAGTTCTCGCCCGGATCACCACAAGTGGGGTGAGATCGACACAGTCAACGCGGCACCATGCAAAGAGAGGGGGATGGCCAAAGGATACTTTGACAGACCACGTTGCCGACCAACAACAGACAGGATGATGTGTCGAAGGAGACGTATAGGATTAGATACTTCAGCAGGAGTCAGGACGGGAGTTCATCTCGGGTACATGCAGTCTTGGATCGTTTCGACATTGGGGCGTTTCGAATGATGGATGAATGGAGACTTGGTGGGTTGATCTGGACGGATTAATTGATATTCCGATGTAGGTAGGGGTCGTGCACTCGTGCCACTTCCATCAGGTTTCATCCCTGTTGATGTCTTGAGCGCTCTGATCACCCTTTTGTGTAGGGCCGAGGGGCCTACTGTTGGCCTTGTTATCGCCCTGCCTATCATTCCATCATCCCTTGTCGACTCTGTAGAATTGTGTTGTGTTGTATTTTGTTTGGTCCAAATGGTTGAAACAACAACATTGCCAGTGCTGAAACTTACTCGCATTCAGTTCAGATTCAGATTCAAACTTTGGAGCCATTCATGTCCATACACTCATACCGACCACCATACTACTTTAGTAAGAACGTAGTTCCCCAACATCATCCCATCATCTATCTCGATCCAACCCTTCCCAAAAAGTCGGTGAAGTGAATCAAACAGAAAACTCAAAGCAATTTCACTTGGCTCTTTCAGACACCCAGACCTGTGACTTTGAGAATCTCAATAAAGCTCCACGATTGGACTATTGTATGGACCGAGGAGACTACTGCACGGTTTCTGCACTTCTGCATCTATCCTGCATAAGCGTGGCAGCAAATTCGCAAGTCAGCAGGTCCCCCATCGCCAACCTCTCTTGAACTCGATAGTTTGTTTGAATTCTGGGATTTTGAAATATTTCTTGTCCGATGTCCGATCCTCGAACAGATGATTGTCCTATGATAGGGAATCTAGGAACTCGAGTTCAATCGTAGTGTTGTTGTTGTAGAGAGAGGCTATCAGAGGCTGGTTACGGTGATCTCTTGGCGTTAGGTGATTGATCGCCCCCAACTCTGCCAGAAAGGTAACGGGAGAGCGACCGTCTTCTTTCTATTACTACAACAAATCAAACTGAATCGTTGACATGTCATCTGACAGTCCAGAGTACGTAGTACGTAGTACACATGTAGTCTCCCTTACTCCTGCGCATTCCTTCAGTTATCCAAAACATGTTCCATATATAACATCTTCAACAGCAATTGTTATTGTCTTGATAGAAAGATTCAAAAGTACTTTGGGTGTAGGCATACATGCAGACCTGCACCCACTCTGTGGAGTTTGGGCGTCCTCGTATGCGTCCTTTACATATTCGTATGCGTAGGTACCTAGCTAAAGTGTCGGCAACGGCCCGAAGCTCGCTCCATGGGAATGCGCCGAGGGCCACCTTGAGCTGGGGCCCTGGGGGCGCTGGGCGCTGGGGCTTCCCTACTGTAGAATGCATACGAGAAGACCCAGTATCTCCAGAACCCGTTCGCATATGCACACTGCGTAGATACATGGTACATCCAACAGTTGAGAAAAGTGTCTACGGTACTAAAGTCTGTCGATGGGGTATCTACACAGTAGCAGTGGAAATTTGATAATTGATAGGTGTGCAATCCATCCGGAAAAACGAGCGCCTCCGAGGCGGTCAATAAAATGATATCGCGACTAAAAAAATACCATCCACCAACCAAACTACCAATATCAACATCAACATCAACAAAGATACTGGCAACCGTAAAATTCCGTCGCATGCCGCAAGTTGCATGCAGCATCGTCTAAGTCCAGTGGTTTCTCTTACCTATAGATTGAATCCACTACAACCCCGAGAACCAACATCGCAAGAACACTGGTTACAGTAGTACACCTGGTAGAGGCGCATCGCTTAATCCGTTGGTCGCATCCGTTGGTCGCATCCACAAAAAATATTTTTTTCGTTTACTCAAGTCTCAAAACTACTTTCCTATGGATTCTATCCACCAAACCTGTTACTACTCTAGTAATTACTACTGTACATAGATGCATGATGCATTGTCTCCATTCCGACCCCCCGAGATCTCTGCTGTATACTCGTAGATCTTACACCCACGTCGACCCAAAGCGGCGGTGTCCTTACCGCCATTGTCCTAGACTTGAACCGAGGTCCACTATCATGCAGACAGGGCCGACTCGGCATCAATTATTTTCTCTGTCCCTTCGCTTCAAAGAATCTTTGTTGTCTATTTTCCAAGTAGGGATGGAACTGTCCAATGAAGATCCATCTCTCTGTCACACCGTTGTCGGCGTTCGGCGTGTGTGCAAGCGAGCGCATGCGTTTTGGTCGCTGAGTGAAGAGTAGCGAGTGGCGATAGAAATTTTTATTTTCTGGTCGTTGGAAATCTGTGTTTACAGTACCTGTTGATGTCGAGGGTATTCATGTTGGGGATCAAACGGGTATCGACCGCTCTCCCCGTGTCTAACATCAGTTTTTCTTCCAGGATCCTCTGTGATTTCTCCTTTCATGTCGATTCCTCTTACCTCCATGTCGCGCGCATCGTCCAAAGACTAGACACTGTTCGTCGTCGCCTCAGTGACTCATGTGAGAATATTGAATGACTCGACCGGGCTTGATGCCGAGAACGTCTCATGGAGTAATCTGTCCACCAGGACCTGTCGCAAGCGCAAACAGCAGAAATTGCGACAACGACGCGCTCGTCCCCATTGACCGCTTTGACGCTGATCTCCTGCCGCTGCCGCTGTCCTCATCACGAACAGGTTTCTTTTCTGCGGGTTTTGCGAGTGATCGCAAGAATCGTTTGCCAGCAACTGGCAACTCGGGCTGAAAGAGATGGACAGGGAAGTACATGGCAACCATAACTTGTGTTGCGACGTTGTTGCTGGCCAGTTGGTCTGACACCTCAAAGCGCTCCACCAAGGGCTTCCACAAGCCAAAGTGATGCCCTGACTTTAAACCCAACTCTTCTTTCAATCTTTGACAGGTCATCCTGTGTGACCACCGATGCATTCTCTTGTAAATTCTCCGTCTCCTTCCTGAGCCTTGCTTTGAGATCTTCATCGCCAGTCACGATCAAAGCTCCCGCCTCAAGATCGAGGCTGTAGCTTCGCTTTGTGTAATTACTACTTCCCACGAGAGACACACTCGGGCCCGACTCTGCGACCATAGATCCATTGGGTGCTGCGATCGAGGGTAGAGTCAACCACAGACCTTTGGCGTGGTACGTCATCCCATCGGGCTCTCCGACTGTGCCTTTGCGCCATTCTTTCAATTGAATCACGTCCTCCTTGCCATTTTGGGCAACTTCGCGAAGGAATCGTCGTGAAAGAAGTGTATATGCAGCGGGTAACATTCCGCTGACGCCCTTGCTCCCGTAAAAGCCATTCGCCCAGGGTGAAGCCGTGATGACAGTGCACGGCTTTTCAGGCGGACCTGACTCTATCCCCTGTTTTTGTGTATTTCTGTCCGGTGCAGCCGCGATCAATAAGTCGCGAATGACCGGATCAATATTGAAGTATCCCGCCGTGAATGTCCACGACGAATCATGCAACCGTGCATCTTCAGCAACACTTCCCAACAGTTTGATCAAGACCGGTTTCTCGGTCGAGTTGTGACGGATGCCATATCCATCGTCTTGGAAAACAACTTTCTTCGGCTGGCCAAGAAGGATATCAAATTGTGCCAACGGGTAAACAAAAGTCTTGTCTTCGGTGAACGGGACCGGCAATATCTTCTGTCTGGCTTTTGGCTGTATCAGAGGTTTCAGAGTCTGCTTCGCGTACTGCTTGAATTTCTTCGTGTGCCAGAGAGGGTCAGGAAACCCGCGTTCATGAGGGCTGAGAAGTTCCCATCCCCCAGGAGTCTGATCAGAAGGCATGAGTTGATATGACAAATCACAAACGGCGTCATGGATCGCGCAATAAAAATCGGTCAATTCCTTGGAAGAAAAGACGTGATACCGATCGAGTCGATTGGTAAAATAGTCGTCAGAGAGGTTCGCGCTGGGAGTTGGTTAATGAATGTTTCAAGGGTGGCGGACAGGTTCATGACATACCCAGACAGCAAGATCTCATCGTCAAAGCCATAAAGCTTCATGTGCTGCAGTCCCCATCCTTCATTGATGCGCTTCGGCATGAATCTCTTCTTCCAGCCATTCAAATTCGGGGTATGGAACATGGAGATCTTGACCCTGTCTCCAAACTGCGAGATCAACGGCGCCAGAAGTGTAGCGCATGATGGATTCGGATCTTCTCTGGTGCCTCTCAATGCATCCGTCAAGATGGACAGTTCGAGCTTGGGATTATTCTCAAGTGCTTCTTTTAATGTAGCCACCAGCTCATGCTCCGTCTTTCCAATGTACAACGTCGAAAGGAAGATCCGGCGCTTTGCACCTCTGATTTTAGCCTGAAGAATGTCCTTAGCGTGCTGTCCGAGTGATTGCTGAGCTCTCAGCCTGCAGATATGGTACCTTTAAAGTCTCGTAAAAGACGACCGGGCTATCGAGGATCTCGATCTGCGAAGGGTCTACTTCGAAACGTGGGGCTATGTGGTCAAACTCGGAGGTCACACCGGCAAGCGGATGTGTAGCAGGAGAAAGTGCTCCATCCTGCGGTCGAGGAGCAGAGGATGTGAATCTGCGTCGAGCCAAAGCATGCGGTGCGCGGAGAGATGATGCTCGTCGGGCGGTGCAGCTGCCGTGTCGAAGAAGTAGACGCCCGCCAGCCCCACAGCTCCGTGCAAACATGTCGATACCTGAATCTACCGACTGCTCCCGGGAGTGTATAGCTCGTCTTCTGCCATGTCGGTCACCAATTGTAAAACATGGTGAATGGTTTAAATCAACTTGTCACCACCATGGAATGGCCTTTGGTTCTTGACTGCGGCTCCAACAAAAAAAGAGATTCCCCAATAATTGGAAATGGAAAGTATGCCGAAGCCGAAACCCCAAGATTCAGCCTTGTCTCTCCGCAAGGCTGAGTGAGCCTCATCTACGATCTGTCTGTTTCCACCGCCATCTCGCCCGTCGCTCTCCTCAGGATCATGGAAATCGTTCCGGCGCATATCGAGGAGCTCCACCCTTTGTCACATGGTGTTCCGCCGGATGCAGGTTGTCACGACAATCTCGATCGATGCAATTGTGGCGAAAGAACCAAGTTTCCGGCGGGAAGAACAAGCAACTCCACTGGCATTGATGTGGATCTGACAATCATATGCTTTTCAATGGACTCATGCTAGCTGGTGATCTACTGAGCCAGTGGTTTCCCGAAAAGGTGTGATATACGCGCCGTCTCTTTCGCTGCGGCTCGCTATTGGTCTTGGTACCGCGTCGTCAGAACTAAGTCAAGCCAGGATCAATGGGTTTCTTGGACGGGGTTCGCTCACGAAGGTATGCTTTCTATTTTGGATCTTGCTAAGATTATGGCGCGACGGACCAAGAATGAGACTACAAGAATCCTGGTTCGTGCACTTGTCGACGGGTCTTGAAGCATCCCACTACGCAGGGCAACCTGCATTGACAGAGTCAACCAGATCAGGAGTTACAATTCAGGTCAAACTGAAAGTCGTCTTGAATCCTCCCGGAGCGGTCACTTCGCTTTATCAAGTCGCCGGAATCCTTGTGGTCAGAAGAGCTAGAGCATCAAACATTGGACTCTTTGAGTCTGAAGCTGCGAAAGGACATGCTGCAGGATTCTCAGGAACGTCGGAGCGCCCGAGTCATCCCTACTTCTATGCAACTCCAGGCTATTCATGGGCCACTATGGTTCAGAATGAAACGCCAGAAATGACCAAGAGGGTAGTTTTAGGCGGGAATATAGCATGTATCGTCATGGTCTCGTCGGCAGTAGCTCCGGAGCAGGATATGACGAATGGAGAGGAATCTTGGAAGAATCTTGTCAATGATTTTTGTCGTATGCTATGCTAGACGGATGTAGCACCTGAGCTACCCATGTAAGAGCTCAGCGAGAGGCATGAAATCGAGATCCCCAAGCCAGAACAGTAGCCATTTCTTTCACCGTCCAAGCCCGGTACAAGCAATATTGCCAGTCTGGTAGGCGGACTATAGGCACGCCCGTATGCAGGTCTTTGGCCTCCCATGATGTCCCATCTTCTTGTTGCTCGGCGAGTATTGTGAGTCTTTGCCCCCTAAGGGCGGACCATGCATGGATGTTTCGAGGGACGATCCATGCCAAACTCAGAGGAGACCAAGAAGCTGGGAGCTTGATCCGTGGAATCTTGCTCGAGAGTGACGCGCTCGCTCGCTCGCTCGCTTTTCAGGCTGCAACAAGCGCCAGAGCGACTTGAAGAGAGAGTTACAGCATAGGCTATAGTCGGTGGCCGAGTGGACAGATGGGCAGTAGGTGGCTTGAAGAGGTTTTCTTGGTCTTGTGGGTATGGAAACGGGTGACGGCGCCATGCGCCGTGACATAATCGAGCAGTCTGGTACGGTTCAAGTTTGGCCTTTACCAACCAAAGTCCACGCTGCCCCACGGGCCTGATACAACATAAGACTGACTCATCCTTCCATAATCTAGTCTACCAACAGTGTATTTCAGGTGAACCCCTCAACCCCGTTGAGATGCGCCAGCATGAAATCAAACAAGCATTGTCCAGTCAAGAGGCATGCTTTCACATAGGCGGTAACCTTTCATGTCGTCTTGGGGCTTTTTCTTGACGTACTTTTCCCAGTCTGTTACCAATGGGGTGCTGTTATCGTCGCGGCAACACGGCATCCACTGACCAGACGGCTCAAGCCTGTCGAATCTCAAGCCTGGACGTCGATCAGATTCGGTCAAGTGCTCGTCCAGTGGCTCCCCCATCCCAGAGCGTCCCAGGCATGGCGGCTGTTACACTAGACCGGCTGTTGATTCGTCTCTGCGTGCAGTTGCATCTGCGGTGCGCTGGCCCTCCAGATGCATCCCATGTCCCCAGAGACATCTTGGCCCGATGCGAGGCACGGTCGTCTCCCTGGAAGTCATCGTGCCCTCGGTGCGTCATTCTTCCGTGATGCCTCTTCAGGCCCATGTCGATACCGGCCTTGTGTTGGGACCGTATCGGCCATTCCCGTGCAGTAGCTCCGAGGACCGCCAGAATCCCGCTTCCTGTTTGGGTATTCCCAACTGTGGTTTTGGCAGGATTCCTGTTCAGATGCTGTGGGAAGAAAGCTCGCCTGTATGTGTGTCGAAAGCTAGAACCAATTGCCTGACAGGGACCCTCCCCGCCACACACATGTGGTGCACGTCAGAATCGCCATCTCCTTTGCTCGTCATGCCCTGTCTATCCCACAAAATGACACCCGTGTTTTAATCGCGTGCAGAGGTGTCTTGAGCCCTCGGCGCGCGGCCTGCGCGTGCCTGATCGGGGTAGCAGACACGGACACGGACACGGTCATCTGAGCATCTGTTGTGGTAGTCGTCTCCTTGGTCTCTCGGTGTGATTGTATTGTCGCCAAGTCCGGAATCAACTGCTTCTTTTTGACTGACTGTGGCTGTGGCTCTTCTCGTTGGCTATCAGTCTCTCCAGGCGCTTGACTTCCCTCCTCATGGCCTCAGCCACCGTCTCGGATGTCTTGTTGGCTCTCTCCAGCATTTCACATTCGGACCTGAGCACAGAGATTCTGTTTCTAAGCGTGCGGAGGTCATCGTCGCTCTCGACTCGACTAGAAGCCGACTTGTCCTGATGGATCTTGTTGGTTATAGTTAGATCGCAGGCCTCATGGTCACGTTTCGGGAAGGCATACACTGTGAGACTTCCTGTTCTTCGTGTCCATTGTGACTTAGAGGCTGGCTAGAGCGTTGAACCGTGTTTAGCAACGGTGAATCTGGGAGAGGGGGTGGCTGTCGATCCAGCAGAACGATGGGACAAGTGGGCAAACCATTGATATAAGTTTTAGTTGGCCTATAATGTCCTTGAACGGGCCGATGATCCTCCAGCCATGTATTCTCTGGTTTGAAAAAAGACATGCACCTGATCGACTCTGGGTCGTTCCAAGATCAAAACCACCGTGAGCCATCAAGATGATATGCAAGCAGGTCTTGATGGTCCAACGACTCTGCAAAGTGGTCGAATCAGAGGCCGTTGTTCAAGCTGTTGCAGAGCCGTGGCAAGCAAAGAGCAATGGAGTAGTGCAGGGTTCTTTAGTTAGCTCAAACTGTTGGTTCCATGGAGGGGTCGTGCAGAAGTACGAGGATTGAATTCAGGAATTGACCAAGATCATTGGTGGGATATGGTGGAATAGGACCACCTTCCTAATACTGGTGCGTATTTCGGCCAGCATTGCATCGAAGATGACCAGAAGAGACCAATAGACAGCTAGTGGTAGCTGTTGTTGGATGCTGGAGCTCGCATCGCAAGTTAGGTCTGACATGCCTCCTGACCTACCTCACTCTACATCTTTGGACAAGGATTCACGTACCCCGCCACCTGTACCGGTCGGCATTATCTAGAGACGACGCTCTCCACCAAAACTAAACTTGGTGCCTCGTCGTGATAGGCGACTAGAGATAGATACGAAGGCCATGTCAGTCGAGATTCTTCCCGTAGGGAGATCCCACGTGCGGGATGCAGCGAAATTGTCGGCCAGGACTTGCTGGGGGTTAACGACTTCCGGAGTTGACTTGGCGTAGTGGCGTCGCCATGGTACTCCGTAGATACAGTAGGCTAACTGCTGCCAACGGCTTTGGGGCTCTGAAGGGGTGACCACTGACAAACCGAATCGTCCATGGGCCAAACAGGACCAAGAGACCGCCACCTCAATGCGGCCAGAGGGGCTCCGAAAACAGATTACCCTAGCACTTACTAGCCAGCGGAAGTGCCCCCCGAACCCAAGGTGACCCTGGGAAAAAAGCAGATGTTTGCCAAAGAGGAAAATAACTTCTTTCTTGGTAAGACCACAGATGGTTCAACTTTAAAACACGGAGATGTTGACGTGGCCTCGGGCCGGGACTCGTTCCAGGCCACAGGTCAGTCAGAAAGTGATTCATTCTTGGATGCCGGACTCAACCAACAACGACATCAAAATCAAGTGCCGGATTCTGGAAAGGTGGTCGAGCACCTACCAAAGGTGGTTAGTCAAAGAATATACAAGCAATTTATGAATTGAAACAAACAAACAAACACCCGGAGACGATATTGACCTATCTAACACGTGATTTTTATATATAAACACGTGAGGATTGATCCACTCGTCCTCACAAGTCCCACCATTCATCACAGTCTCAACAAACTGTTATCGCGCTCTTGTCCTGTATGTACACTTCCTCTCGATCTGCAAGTCAATTTGAGCCCAACCAGTAGTGTACTAAGAGGCCAATCACTCGGTCTAGATATATGCCGGCCAAGGTGTCCACAGGTAGGCGTACCTCATCTTGCACCAAAGCGTCCAGGATCTCAAGGACATCTTGATCAAAGGAAAGAAAGTCCAGACCAACAGAGGAGTGGCGTGGACCATGACTTCAAGTCCACCGGGATAGAAAAAGCGGAAAAGTCATGATCGTCTTGACGCATTTGGCAATACGTCAGGTTTTTGTTCTTGCTAGCCAACCCTCTCACGCCCCTGTATCAAATCCCAGCATTTCGCGTGAAAGGAATTCCGCATCCTAATGTACTCTTCTCTCAGGGATCAGGATCAGCACCAGGAAACTCTCGCTTCTGAAGCCGAGTTTGGTGAAAACCCTGGGTCCTTGACCACAAGACAAGGGCTCCGGACACGATCGTTCCGGATTCTGGCAGTGCCCTTGTTTGAGTGGAGTCAGACAACAATAGTACAACACGCATATTCTAACAGTCAGGGATTCAAGGGCCTCCGTACGGAGTATGTTATCCCAGAGTCGGCACAGATCCGGTGGGCTCCCATCTGGGCGAGGGCGAGTCCTTGTGACTTTCAAACGTCATCTTGGACATCTTTTGAGCGAATCGACTTTTACTTCTTCTTTGATTTACTATCTACGACTGCCCTCTCCATCATCTCCATCGTGTCCCAACATCTTCCTGGTCTGCCGGCTGCTTTGTTGCCATCACCAAGATCTTGAATTTGCAAAGTCAGCACTTCTCAGTTCAGTCTATGCTCTTAATTATTTCATGCAGATCACCCGTTCATTACTCGACGACAATGTCAGTTGAGTTTCGGATCAACTATGTGATATGTCTCTGATATCCTCAACACCAAGTCCTGGAAATGCCCCCAGAGATTTTGAGAGAAATGGGCGCACCCTTTGGACCAACACAAACAGAAAATCTCAGCCTTTCACGTGCCTTGATGCTGACCAAGCGCTGATGAGAGAGACATGACTAGGTACTTGACCTCGGTTCCAATTACTCTGGCACATGTGATGGTGGAAGTCGACACTCAAGATTGATCAAGGCTCTGGCTTATAAATGTCTCACATGCTTTCCTCACGAGACATAGGCCTCGGCAGCCTGTTAGTGGTGTCTTGGTCGCTGGCAAATCGCCATGATCATTTTAAGCGAGGATGGATTCGCTTCATCACTATGAATAGTCAAGGGGAGTAGGGCAAAGGTCAAATATCATTCACTAGGTGCCTGGTTAGGTGCCTGGTTTCTGGGTACGCGCCACCATCACTTATTAATTGATGCAAGACAATATGAATGGAATAAGGTATTGCCCACATGAATATAAGCACTAACATCGTGCTTCAGCATCGACCCACCAAGCGCTAGAGGCTCGGGACAGCAAAGTTGAGCGAATTGAACCCTGACAATGAGAACTCTGTTCAAACAACAAACGTCAAAGTGTCTAGTTACCGAAAGAAGAAACAACTGGATTTACAACATGTTGATCTTTCATGGCTGCATCGTCCTCATATAAGTCATCCTACACGTGACACGACAAACGCCATACGCCATACGCCCAACTGTGGTGTGTGTGTCCTCTCGCACAAAACGCTGTCATACTCTACAATTGGACAAGTCGAATATCGACTTCGTGATGCTCCCTAACCAAAGCTCATTCGTCGTCAAAGATACCACAGTTGGGATGCAAGGCATACGAGAGGGTTTCCACTCGTGCCTCAGCATTCTCCTGGTCGGCGTTGTCGTCTTCAACTAATCCTTCGCCACGGATTGCGATAATGACATTGTCCTATACGAAAGATGACCAGTTAGTCTCGTCAAGTACGATACAGATACCCATCTAGGATGGGTCTTCCAGGCGGGAAACAAGTGAGACCATGAACTTACCTTCAACATTCTTTTCAACACTTTCTTGGCCAGTGACTTCTCTGCTTGCAACTCATCCTCGGTGCCGATCGAGTCCTCAACTTGCTCGAGATACCATAGGAGCAACTCATCGTGTTCCGGTCCCTGGCCATTCTGCTCCTCTTCATCTCGGATCTTGGTCGCAAGCATGTGCTGTATCCGATGATACTTCTCAAACGTGATTTTCGTCGTGTGTCGAGCGGGCGCTGGTGTGCCGTCTGCATTATGTTCAGCCTGATCCCCTGCTCCGCCGGCGGCGGCGTCATCATCATCATCGCCATCTGCCATTGGGCTATCACCGGTTGCTGCGGAGGCCTGCGCCTGAGTTTCATCCTCATCGTCCTCGACGTCAACGTCGTCTTTCTCCACGCTGATGATGGACATGCTGAGCAGCGCATATGCTTCGAGGACAAACTCTTCGGTGATTTCTTCGACGCAATTTGCTTTGGCGATAGCCTCGCTGAGCCGGATGAGTGATTCCAATTGTCTGACGGTGATACGATAGCTGTTGCGCCCGATACCACCAGAATCGTTGGCTCGAAGATCTTTGTATTTCTGTACTAACAGTGCTTTCGCCCCGGGTGTGAAGACTGGTTTGAAGGTCCTTGCGAACCGGATATATCTCTGCAACTGCTCCGTGGAGAATTCGGGCTGTACAAAGTCATCCTTCAGCATGTGCAAGTTGACTATGTGGCTGGCGAGGCGGCGATCAATGGTCTCGTTACATTCGTCCAGGACAACAAAGAAGAGATCAAAACGTGACATGATGGGAGCCGACATGTTGATGTTGTTTCGCAGAGTAGCCTTCCGGTTGTAGCGACCACCAATAGGGTTGGCAGCCGCGAGAATGCTCGTCCGAGCGTTCAGCGTAGCGTGAATTCCCGCTTTGGCAATGGAAATGGTTTGCTGTTCCATGGCTTCGTGAATCGCTACTTGATCCGACACGTCCATCTTGTCAAACTCATCAATACAGCATGTGCCCGAGTCTGAGAGCATGAGAGCACCGGCCTCAATGGTATGCTCACCCGTCTCCTCGTCTTTGACGACTGCAGCAGTAAGACCAGCAGCACTGGAAGCTTTGCCTGAGGTGTAAACGGCACGGGGGAGGAACGAAGAGATGTACTTGAGAAATTGAGACTTAGAGGTTGAAGGGTCGCCGACAATGCAAATGTTGATGTCACCACGAAGAGCCATTCCTTCAGGAGTCTTCTTGGACACTCCACCGAGAAGTTGAAGCAGCAGGCCTTTCTTCACAATCTCGTGACCCCAGACCATTGGGGCAAGACTGTTGACAAGCCGGCTGTAGATCTTGTCCGAATGCACCATGTACTTGAGGTCTTCGATTTCAGCAGGCGTGAGCGTCTCTAGATACGCTTCTTGAGCTCGATCGCTGCTGTCGTATTGGTCGAATAGATCTGTCTGGTGCAATGAATTCAAGATGTTCATCGATTGTCCATTGAGCTGGTTGGCCGTCTGGCCAGGTGTGGTGATGTCGGGGCACGAGAAACAGGCTAGGAAGGCCATCCTGTACGTAAGATCTCGAACGCCCAGGGCTTTCAGACCTGACACGCCAGCTCCTCCAGCGTCGGCGCCTCGAAAATTTGGGTTGTCCTTGGATGCTTCAGGTCGAACCCCAGGCAAACCAAGTTGAGAGACATCCGGAACAACGATTAATGTACCAGTAAAAATACACTTCTCGCCAGGCTTGGTGCGTTCGACTTGCTCGCCTCGCAAGATGATATCCATTGTTCGTGGCATGCTGCCAGTAGGGATTTCGGAACTGTTTTCTTGGATGCGGCACCTCTGCCAATCCACAAATGTGCTGTTCCGAATGTCGAGTCTCCATGCTATTTTGTTGCCGCAGGTCAAGTTAGGGCAGACCGTAGGTTCGGTGAATCGAAAAGTCTGCTCGATATTGGGTACGGTGGCATTACAGGCCTCACAGATGAAAGTACCCAAAGCCAACTCAGGTCGGACTTCTGAGGTCCTTGTCACTGTACCAGAGACAGATACCAACTTCCCAATCTGGTCCGTTCTCAGCTGACGGACTCTTGAGATCAGTGGGAGGTTGTAAAAGGCGAGGGTGAACAGTTTGTCAGTTTGTTGATTGATAGTTTTGTCACCTTGAGTACTTCCTTCGCTGGTGGCATTTCCTGCCATTGAAGTGCCCGCCTGGGAGGCATTGCTGGTCATCTGACGGTGATCTTTGAAGTACAGCGGTTCGTACTTGGCGAGAAGGTTGTGAAGAGCCTTGGTCAAGAAGGGCAGAAATCGGTAATATTGACTGGCGATTGCGTCGGCCAACACTGGACCTTCTTTGTATGTCAAGAGATGTCTGTAATCGACATAGAGTGTAGACAACTGAAATTCACGGAGACCATGAATCTGATTGATATAGTATTTGTCTGTTTTCAGTTCACTTGAAGCTGGGATGGCTGACGAGGATGTTTCCTCAATGTGAGATTCGAGAAAATCTTCAAAGGCTTGTTGGACTCTTTCGCCTGCTTTGTCCGAGACTTTGGAGACATTGCGGTCCAAAGGATTGGGGTTTCTGCCTCGAGCGGCGCCGACAATTTCGTCGTCGGGGAAGATGTCTGGTTCAGAGTTTAATCCATTGCTCTCTGAAGGCGCCGGCCGTGGACGTGAGGAGGAGGGGAGGTCGCTCTGGGTTTGTCGCTGAGAGGAGGGGGTGACACCAAAGGCGTCGGAGTTCAGGATCGAGTCCACGAGTGTTGCCATCTCGAGAAGATTCGGTCTGTGAGAGGTGAAGATGTCGATGGGAAAGGAATGAGACTGGGAAAGAGAGATAACCGCTGCGAGACAAGAGACATGAATGTTCAGTGTCGTGGGGATCCCTCCTGAGAAAGGACGCGTTGTTCCCGCCCTGGCGCGTGCCGCGTTCACGCGTAAAGTGGTTTCTTGGCATTTGAACTTGAGTCACGTGGTAGCTTCTCTCTGATCACACGTGACATCTACTCTCCTTCAGTTTACTACGAGTACGTGAAAAGGATTAAGTCCCTAGGTAGTGGTCTTCCTGTATATATACCCTTCTCGTCACTGTACATACAGAATATACACCTACTAGTGTGAAGTGTTGCTACTCCCCCATTGAATGGCTGTGTCCAAGACATCAACGTGGAGATTGCCCTTCGCCCAGATATGCAGACAGGATTGTTGGAAGTTGATCCTACAGTATTGTCGATCACCCGCTACCTGCACTCATTCGTTGGCTTTCCTTGTAGCGTATGACAGCAAGCGCAGCGATGACAGTTTCTTCTGCCGCCCGATCGGTGGTGATGAATTGATTGAGCATCTCCAGCGTACCTCCGCGTATATTACCCCTATAATCAGGCTTGAATCTCGCAATAGCCATTCCCGTGTTGTTGAGAAGCACCATATTCAGATCATCGAGTTTCTTGCGTGGTCTCCAATTCAGCTTCTCACCATGCAAGGTCAGAGAGTTGTACGAATGTTGTCCCCCCAGAAAGCCATTGGATTCAATTGTAAGTTCTTGGCCGTTTATGGTTATGTCGATGCGGCCTTTGAATGAATGGAGGATGGCAGTGGCGATCTCAGCACCGCTGGAACTTGACCAAATCGTCATCTGAGGCTTCCGAAGACGAGCGTCGACTGTGTACTTCTCAACATCTTGGTCAGAGGCCAAGACTCGAATGGTCGTGTGGTGGCTCCAGTAATCGTCATACTGTACGCGCAAGCAACGAGAGTCCTGGGTCGACTCTGGGAATTCTGCCTCAGGGAGTTTCTGGAACTGTTCGCTTGTGGTGGGGTTCTCTCCTATAAATTTGGAGGAGGGTTCGGTAGGAGTGTAGGAGTCTTTGTTTCTGCGAAAGATGTTCCTCATGCTTGAAGTGATTTGCCCGGTGGCGTAGATGGACTATTGGAACGCTAGGAGAATTGAAGGGCTGTTGATGTTGAAAGTGAAAGCAATGGCTCGTGGCAATCTGAGATGGCCATGTGTGACATGATATGCGAGCCATCGATCAGCCCAATAATGAACTTGCCGTATGTTTCAACTTTGTCACCTAGCCTACCTGTAGTACCTGGAGGAACATCACAGACCATGCTCCAGGGTGCCTACGCATACGGATACGCATAGGTCGTCACGAATTGGGGACAAGGTGGCTGAGGATCCGTGCCCAAAGGGACACTGGAGAGTCCTTGAGTTCATCAGGCGCCCGATGACGCTAAGCAGGCTTAATCAATCATTGAAAGTCTTAATTGGCTCCCAGGACCGTACAGAATGTGCCCTTGATAGTTGTCCCATGCCCAACGGGTACAATCGATCGACGTCGCATGACATCAAGTCCCATGATATGAGCCACGTTGCAAATTTTCGATGGGTGTGGATTTAGTATTGGTGAGTTTCGATACAAAGCTGGTCTACCACACTGCATGTGTACAATAGCAATATCAAGGATAACCATATGAGTTGCGGTGAGGCTATTGGTTCGCGTGATGTATCTTATTCATTCCATCTCAATGCCCATCTGGGGATATTCATGTCCCAGTAGATTAATATCATATCTACCTGGTTCGTTTCACAAAGTTCCCCTCTCTTTCTCAACCTCATCAGCAAATTCACCCAAGGTAGCAAACCTCCAACCATATCCCACCTCGCCCCTGTCGTGTACTTCTTTGACACCATCCGCATTACCCATGCCCGCACCCTTCCTAGCGATCCAGACACTACTCAGACCGACCTTTTTGGCGGGGACATGATCATGAAACAGGCTCTGTGCGACATGTAAGATCTCGTCCTTTTCAACCCCAGCATCGGTTTTTGCGTGATTCAACAGATACTCGAAATTGCGCAGGTCAGGCTTGTAGCTACCAATGTCTTGCGCCGTATAGACCTTGAAGAAATCAACACCTGCCAGAGGCCCGGCTTGCGTGTGAGAGAAGGATTCCCGGTCGACGTTGGAGACAGGGATCAGCTTGTAGCCAGCCCGAATCAGTCGTTGACATGCTGAGACGGTGTCGGGAAATGCTGGCCAGGATCCAATGCTAGAGCCAAAGACAGTGGCTTCAGAGCGGATGGTATCGTCCACCGGAATGGAGAATTGAGTGGCTAGTCGCAAATATGCTTGTTCTAGCAGGCTGTTGTATAACAGCGACGGTTGCTCTGTCTGCAGCAACGCCTCGATCTCGTTGTACTTGGCCGCAAGAGCAAGGCGTGAGTCTCGATAGATGGCTGCAGCTGAGTCCTGAGGGATTCGAGACACCAGTGGTTGTAAACCTTTGACTACCCCAGTCTCCCAATCGATGAGCGTGCCGTAAATGTCATATGATATCACTTTAAAAGACGAGAATGGTTTGCGAGGCACAGTCGGCTCTGGCAGGGCAAGGTCTTCCATGTTGTCGTGTCTCGATGATTGCTGACCTGGGTAGTTGGACAGTTGAGTTGATGTTTATGGAACAAAGTCAACTCCACTGATGCTGGGATTGCTGATGTTTAACTATCGTTATGTGGCAGCGGACTTGGACCCATTTCCCCGCAAATGATCATACCGATCACTTCTTCAAGGTCTTACAACGACATGACGCCCGTGTATCATGTGAGATGCGCGCCCTGTGTTGATGGCAGAGATGTCATCGACACATCCAGGGTCCTCAAGTCTCACACCGATCCTATACCAATTAAATCCGAGATTCGTCCGGTACATTTGGCATGGTGAATACCCGGCCCGTGATGAATGAACATTGGACCTTGCTGCTTGCCTAGCTTCTAGGGCGTGTCTAGAAAGAGTCAATGGTGCTGATCAAGGCCCATGATTGGAAATTGGGTGGCATGAAGAGTCCAGCAAAGGGCGTACTTCATTGACGCCTATTCGATGTTTCCTCACACCGGTCCGGGCGCTGGCAGTGGTCTTAGGCGCCTTGGGGGCCGAGGGGGCCCTCGGGCTTTCACTGGCTTCTTTAGGGATGGATACAAGCAATCACCCGGGTGGGATTTACCGGCATGGATTGCCTTGAGATGTCATTTCTGGGCGTGCTTACATACTCCGTACAGAAGGTCTTAGGCGTCTGTTCAGGCCTGTGACCCTGACAGCGATACCCCTCGGCCCCCCAGACGCCTTCAGCAGCCAGACGACGTCACAAGTTCATTCATATGTGTAGATACGGCCTTCTCATCCTATTTCTTTGATGAATTTACTCAGGACTGGTACACACATCTATGGCTGGCATGCCTCATCCATTCCCCTCGAACTTGAGCTTTCCTGCTAAAAACATGTTGGGATTCTCAGCTTTCCCAGCACTGATTCCCTTTTCTCTTCAAGTAGCAATTGGAACTCCTTCTACCCATAATTTTCCTCGTGACCACCCAGGGCCAAAATGGCAGAACGCCTCATTACCACGACCAAAGCACCAGTTCACTTCTGTCGCATCGCATCTCATCTCGTTTGCAATTGGTTGAGCTGAGACGTGCCATTCAATCTATTCATCCTCATTGGGGTATCTTCGCAAAATCGCGTTGGCGTCCGTCAGTCGCCATGAAAAGCATCGCCGCAATCATTGTGCTGTAGTCACATGTGCCTCCTCTTGTCGGTGCTTCAACGGCCTGCATATTGTCCATAAGTCACCGGTGTATGTCCGACAATGTCCTGCCCTAGGTGAGCATTCCGTCTAGCCCTCAGGTATCATCGACATTACCTTTCGCCGTTTTCTGGTCCCGCCATACTCATCCCCGGTCCCGGCATCCTCGCCTTCTGAATAGCCTTCCCCATATCCGACAAAACTGTCGTCGCTGTAGCTCCTCTTCTTGCCGCGAGTGCTCCGCTTGGCCTCTCCGGCCTGTCCTGGCAACGGCCGCTGTACACCATTAGGTATTCTGGAGGGTCCGAGTGCACTCACAGGCGGCTGCTGCACCGTGGGCGGAATTCTGGGTCGGTCTGCTAGTCCAAGTTCGTTTTCCCACCACTGATTGTTGGCGCATAGACCCGGTTGGATCTGGGCCGCTTGCTTGAGTTTCGACTTAAAATCTGCCGTCACTTCGATCTTGGACGAGCCGTGGGTAGCATTCCATTGTTCATCCGTCTCCAGACCCCATGCAGTCGAACCTACCATGCGACGCAAAGGACCAGGTTGGTCCTCGTCCACATTTCGTTCTCCTTTGATCGTCCTCGTCTTTCCCGCCAAGCCAAACATTTTGACCTGGCCTTCGTATGACTTTCGAAGTTTGTTGATCTTCTCGCCTGTCTTGGGGTCTGTTCGAGCAACACTCCGCAGCAACGGACCTAAACCATACATCGCTAAGAGATGTTGCTGAGGGTCAGGACCTTGAGCGCGGATTTCTGCAAGTCAAACGGGTTAATAATCAAGGTCCAGCGAGCGCCCGAGAACAACAACAACAACAATCGGAGAGTCTTACTAGATCTTCGGAGAAGAAAAGGTTCCCCCAAGTCTTTCTGCTGTTGCATAGCAGTCTGAGATCTGCCGTCAGTGAAGCCCGAATTTTGTCCCTGCTGTCCGTCCATGTCCCTGCTGTCTTGCCGGTCATGATTAGTAGGCTGTGTAGTAGAATCGATCTCCATGCGACTCATGTCCTCGTCTCCATCGTGGTCCAATCTAGCCCGCTTGTCACGGTGTTGGTCATTGTCCTCTATCATCTCTAGTCCTGGAATACCGGTCACGCTATTGGCCGGAGTAGGTATTGATGTTGCGGATCTAGGGTTGTTGTGTGAAGAAGATACTGCTCGGGGCCCGGAGAGGGCGGGGGACTGCGGTGACGAGCGACCCGAGACGTCGTCCGTATTATGGGAGTTTCCATACGCAGAAACATAGCTTTTCGTGGCTACTGACATAAACGGAGGAGATATGGGGGTTTGAGGGATGCTGTCGATGTCTGAGGGTCGTCTTCGTTTCAGGCCCGATTTCGGGGGTGAGGTAGGAGATGGTGGTATGGCAGATGGTCGAGGAGGGGAGAACATGAAAAGCGCACAAGGTTGCGCGCCACCCTCTGGCCGTGAAGTTGCCGGGTCGGACAGATGGGCAGACGCAGGCGGACAAAGGAGTGTAGCTACAGTCGTTGAAGTCTTTGTTTGTGATCCAGCGGGGGGTTGATTCGGATTGAGTCGAATGGGTCTCAATAATGAGATTGGCTGGACTCTGGCGGGACCGTTGGAGTCTCAATACTGGGCCAATAGCAGAAAGGTTGGAGGAGCGAGTAGTCGAGGCAGTGGGTAAAAGGGGACAGAGATGTTAGCTGAGTGTCGACGGGGGTTTGGCGTGAGAATGAGTCGAGGTGCTTCAAACGGGCAAAGAGAGCGGTTGTCGGTTTGTAGAGTAGTTGGCGAAAGAGGGCGAGACGAAAGAAGAGGCGCATCTCTGATCCTCACGCTTCACCTAGCCGCGCCATTCCGAATTCGGTCAAATGACACAGTTGACGTAAATGACATCGCGGCTTCCACATTCACGACATTCTAGGCGCCTTCCTCGCCTCAAGATGCAAGTGCCACAAACGCCCACCCTTGCTTGCTTGGGTCGCGCCTTCCTCCGCTTGCTCCCTGATACCGAGCATTGACCACGTGACCTTGACTTCTTCCAACTGCCCCCTTCAGGAGTGACCCTCTCACCACTTTTCTGCCACCACTCCTCTCACACCGCCGCCCTCGTAACATTCATGCCCTTTCTACTACCTAAGCTCTGGTGAGTAGCCTCAAGTCCCACTTATGGACCCATCAGTCCATGTTGCCATCAAGAGCATCCGCATATGCCGTGTACCAAAGTTCTTCTATCATGCACTTACCCGATCCACAAATACCCTGCATTAGCCTAACCCTGGCAAAATATCCGTGAGTCTAATCTTTACCACATAATCATTGCGGCAGGTATAAGCAGATAGGCGTTGGAACCTATTTGGACCGTTACCGAACTCACTCTTCACCTCACAAATCGCTAGCTCTTGCCCATTGTCTATACTTCATCCATGATGGATCACCAGGCAACCATTCCTCCAGGTCTACCGAGAGACCATCCCATACAATCATACTGGCAAGATCCCCCAGACGCCATAGCAGACCATCGAACAAGTCTAGACCTACCCTCCCAAGCATACATTGTAATTGTCGGATCTGGAATCAGCGGCGCCACCATTGCTTATAACCTTTTGTCCGCAGACCCTACGCTGAATATTGTTCTCCTTGAAGCTCGTCAGGCTGCCAGTGGTGCAAGTGGTCGAAATGGTAGGGTTTCCCTGTTTGAGTCTCAAGTGCATTTTTCTCTTCCAAGGCTTCCTCTTATCTGATACTTCGAGAAAGGCGGCCATACAAAGACTGCGTCGTATCGCTCATTTACCGACAACGTCAAGTCAGTAGGCACTCAAGATGCCACAAGGATTGCGCACCTTGAATACAACTGCATGGTCGCTATCCATGATTTCATCAAGACCAACAATCTCGACTGTGATTCGAAGAGATGCCAGACTGTCGATGTCTTTTACGATCCAGTGCAGTGGAAGGCGGCACAAGAGTCTGTGGCCCTGGTAAGCTTGCGCCTTGCTCTAACTTCTGATCGGATCATGCTTTCTATCTGTTGCTGATCAGTCATGCTTCTCACCAAAGATGGATGAATTGATGGGATCATCCGCTCCAAAGCATACCTTTCACACCCCTGCCGAGACATCGTCCCAATTCCTCGCCCAAACACCCCTTGGCTCTCTGGAGTACGAGTCTGGTAGCCTCAGCGCCTACAAACTGACCATCTCGATCCTCAAACTTGCATTGTCCATGAATCTCAATCTACAAACCAACACTCCTGTCAACTCCATAGTCAAATCACCTTCGACCGGCGAATGGCAAACTACCACTCCGCGTGGCACCATCAGCAGCAAGAAGCTGATCCTGGCTACCAATGGCTACACAGCACACCTTTATCCACCACTTCAGGGTGTCATCGTCCCTCTTCGGGGAGTGGTGACCGCTCAAAGGCCCGGTCAAAATATGCCACAGCAAGGCCTGCCCACTACGTTCTCATTCATCTATTCTACTGGGTTTGAATACATGATCACCCGGCCCGCAGGGACAACCCATGAAGGTGACATCATCATTGGGGGAGGATTACCATATGCCGCCAACAATGGAGTTTCCGAGTACGGCAACACGGACGACAGCGCTTACGACGAGGGCAGTGCTTCATACCTCCTGGACACGACCCGACAATTCTTTGGTTCTGAGAATTGGGGATCAGACCATCCGGAAGGTCATGCGCGCAAGATTTGGAGTGGTGTCATGGGCTTCTCGGCTGACGGATACCCGTTTGTAGGCCCTGTTCCCGGCGAGCAAGGACTGTTCCTCGACGTCTCTTTCCAGGGCCATGGCATGGTGCTGTGCTTTTTATGTGCCAGGGCCCTAGCAGACATGGTCTTGGGCAAGGATGACGGCTTGCACGAATGGTTCCCAGATGCCTACCGCGTTACAGAAGAGAGGTTACGAAAGAAATTCACGGGCAGAGTCTGAAGATGGGATTCAAGATACTTGGATAACGTCATCTAGTTGTATTGTCAAGGTATGGATTCTTGTATATCGTAGCCATCATATAGCGACGGGGTCATGCCACACAGACACAGCACACATGCAAGAACACACCATCACATCTCTGCGCTCTCTCTATCTATGTGATCCGTCTATGCAACGCGGACATAGATGCAAGAATCACACACATGTTGCAAACCCAACAACGCCTGATATGATGCACTCTTCAATGTGCGTACCGTCCCTTTGCTTTGGATGTATGGGGACAGCAACTATCTCAAGACTGGAATGGGCCTCCACGCAGATCTGCCTTTGATATCGGGGCTTCGCACCGTCTCCGTCTTTCCATCCGTCCGGATCAGAATTCCCGGGGTTTCATAACTCGTCACTTCGTCAATGAGTTGAGCAGGTTTGTGTCCACGTGCTGATAGATTAAACTCGCGCGTAGCGATAATCTGCTGCTGCTGCTGCTGCTGTTCCTTTTTGCCCTTTGCATCTCATAGTCATATCACAGTCAGGAAAACCCCGATGCCAACAGTTTGACCATTATCCAGCCGAAACCAAGTAGTGGTGATAGGGACCTCTCTATCTCTAAACGAAAAACTAGACCTCTACTGGGTTTGGCATTGAGCTCCTTGAGGACCTCCTTCTTCGTCTTCCCACTGGCCTTGAGCTTCTGCACCGCCAATGTCTTCAATGTCGGCGACTTCAAACTCGACTTCATCAGTCTCCTCGGCTTCGATGGGAGGATTGCTGGGTGGGGGCAAAAGTTGTTGCAGTTTCTCCACCACAGTAGGATCGATGAGGAAGCCGTCTTCAGGGAATTGAATTTCAACAACGAGATACAAGTCACCCTTGTGGTCGGTCTTTTTGAGTGGCATGCCTTCGCCTTGGATCTTGAGAACTTCGCCGGGTCGTAGCACTTGGCCTGGTACTTGAGGATGGTTGAGGACAATCCCGCGGCCGTCGAGGTGTTTGAGGACGGTTCGGTTGAAGCCGGTCAAGGCTTCGCCAAGGGTAACTTCCAATTTCGCCGACAGGTCGTTTCCGGTACGTTGGAAGACTTCGTGGGCTTGTTCCACAAGATGGAAAACGATATCGCCTGTTTCATCGGCGCCGGGGATTTGATCAGCTTCGCCTTCGAGACGAATTTGGTCTCCTTCTCGAGCGCCCCGCGGGATGTACAGTTCAAGCTGTTTCTTCTCTTCGGTCGTCCTCTTGCCTTTGCACTTCTTGCATTTATCTTTGGGGTTGAAAACTTGTCCGGTTCCCTCGCAAGTTCCACATTCCACCATTCTTTGAGTGAGCATTCCGGGGCCGACTTGTTGAAGAACTTGCTTGACTCCCTGCCCTTTGCAAGCAGTACATTCCTTTGGCTTGGCCTTGTCAACACCACCGGTGCCAGAGCACTTTGAACAAATGACGTTCTTGGTGGATGAGAACTTGACCGTCTTGCCTTTGTAAAGATCTTCCAAGGTGACTTCGTACTTTTGATTTTCGTCTGGGCTGCGACGCATTCTTCGGGGACCACCACCACCCACGCCACCCATACCAGGCATACCGCCCATGCCTCCCATGCCACCTCCCATCCCGAACATGTTGAGGATATCTTCCATGTTCACTTCGCCGCCCATGCCTGGGCCGCCTCTTCCATCAAAGGCGGCCATGCCATGTGTGTCGTAGAGGTGTCGTTTTTCATCATCATAGAGAATTTCGTATGCTTGAGAAGCGGCTTTGAATTTGGCCTCAGCCTCTTCTCTTTGTTCTGGGGCAACTTTGTCGGGGTGGTGGGCGAGTGCGGCTTTTCGATAAGCCTTTCGAATGTCGGCCTGTGAGGCTGTCCTGTCAACTCCGAGGGTGGCATAGAGATCGATTTCTTCAGTGGCACCAGGGCCAGTCGTGCCGTTTTCGCCGTTCATGATGGATGATCAAGGAAACGTTGAGGTGGGGGAAAATCGGTGCCTATTGTATGGCAGAAGAGGCAGATAAGAAGCGAGGCCAAGAATTGTGTACGTCAAGTCAGAACAATTGTGCTTGAGAAGTTTAGCCTGGAAAGAAATAGATAGAGCACGCAGGAAGGATCGAGAATGGAAGATGGAAGGATGAATAATTTTCGGGAGTTCGGTAACATCAAACAAGAATCGCAGTGATTCTCGAGAAACTTCTGAGTAAGTAGCGATTGCCTAACGGTTACTGGTTTAGCAACTAAGACTAGGCGAAATTGGGTTAGACAAATCATGAATTAGTCTTCTACGGCGGAGTCCTTGCCTCATGTCAACCAACGCAAGGCTGGGCGAGGCTGGGCGAGGCTGAGACGAGAATGAACAAGGCTGTAGCTGCGACCTGAGTTGCCTACGATGGTTAACGACAAGCTGATTAAGTGCGTATGAAGTAGCCTATACCAAGTCGACGGCTCCTAAGGGCATACCTAAAGCACCTAAGAGCACCAACTGGAAGAGCCCTAATAGTGATAATCCTGTCTCTATCCAACCACAGTACGGAGTATAGTCAACTACTTCTCCACACCAGCCAAAAAAGTCTCCAACTCAGCTTTCAATCGTCTGCTGAACTCCATGTACCGTTTGTCCTATCCTCCACCTTGACAGGGAGTCATTCCTCTCCTCACCACACCCTCTTTCTGTTGCCATCCCTACTATGACGAGAACTCTAAGGAGTCCTCGGGCCACAGGATGGGTATGCAACGCCTGTCGCCATAGAACCTCCACACTCACGACCCTCCCACTACGACATTGGACCTCAAGCCGCCAGTCATCCTCGTCCGCATCCTCGCCCAAATCCAAAATTCCAGATCCCAAGGCTAGCAGATTTCCTACGTATCCTGCAAGGACTCGTTTCGCCCCCTCTCCCACAGGGGACCTCCACCTAGGCTCTATCCGAACCGCACTCTTCAATTATCTCCTAGCAAAAGCTACCAAAGGCCAATTCCTCCTTCGCATCGAAGATACCGACGCGAAGAGAACCATCCCCGGCGCAGAAGATAGGCTCTATAGAGACCTCAGGTGGGCAGGCCTGGATTGGGACGAAGGCCCTGTTGTGGGAGGCCCATATGGTCCATACAAACAATCCGAACGTCTTGCACAATACCAGTCTCACATACAAGACCTTCTCAAGACCTCTCACGCCTATCGCTGTTTCTGTACGCCTGAAAGAATCGATGAACTCAACCGACGCCGCCATGACAAGGGTCTGAGCCCAGGCTACGACCGAAAATGCACTCATTTATCATCCGCCGAAGTCGCGGAACGGGTGCATAAGGGTGAGCCCCATGTGATCCGGTTTCGTGCGCCCGAAAAGTGGCCTCGAGTCAAAGACTTGACATTTGGCTGGACTGGCCATGGTGAGAAAAAGTCAAAGAACTTGCACGCCCATGAGCCTGCGTACGATGATTCGGTGCTCATCAAGTCCGATGGCTTCCCGACATATCACTGGGCCAACATATGCGACGACCGCGACATGAAAATCACCCACGTCATCCGAGGCTCTGAATGGCTATCGTCGACGCCGTTACACGTTGCTCTGTACAATGCCCTTAACTGGACTCCCCCAGCCTTCGTCCATGTCCCTCTTCTGTTCGATACCAATAATCAGAAGCTCTCGAAGCGGAATTTCGACTCTGACGTTTCCAGCTACCGCTCCAACGGGTTCTTTCCAGAAGCTCTCCTCAACTTTGCCGCTCTGTTAGGCTGGTCTCACAAGGAGAAATCCGACTGCATGGACCTCGACACCTTAATCTCACTATTCGACCTCAAAATCACCAAAAACAACTGCGTCGTAACATTCAAGAAGCTGGATTTCCTGCAAGCACAACACGCGAGTCGGCACATCGAGGCTGGCGGTGAAAAATTCGAACAAATGATCCGAGACACGGCCGTCGCAGTCTTGGAAAAGTACGGCGCCGCCGCCGTCCAATCCTTCATCGGCACACGGTCTCTCCGCGACGTCCTCGCCCAGATCATGAGCATCAAGTCTATTGGATATTCCACGGCTCCCGCATTCGCCGAGAAACTAGCCGTCTTTTTCGAGCCATTACCTTCACCTCTCCCGCCACCGCCAGTCCTCTCACACGACCAAACATGGCTTCTCCATGCACTCCGTGTCGCAGCGAGTACACTACTCCTTGTACCAGCTGAATCATGGAACCAAGAAACTCATCGATCAAACCTACTTCTCCTCCAAGAAAATCCATACCCCGGCCTAGACACTACAACTACTACTACTAGTACTGATAGTCCCTCATCGGAATTACCTGCCGACAGCACCGTCCTAACCTCCAAACAATGGAGAATTCTACTCTACCATTATTTACGATGGGCATTACTCGCCGGACGTAACGGACCGGGAATTCCAGAAACGCTCGAGCTTCTGGGACCTGAAGTTTGTCGTCAGCGGATTCAGGAAGCTAATCAGCGGAGTCAAGAATTCCAAGTCGAATCAGTAAAACCGATCCTTGAGGAACAGGGCTGGAAAGGTGATGCTGATGGGAAGAGGAGGGTAGAGAAGGCTTGGACGCCTCATGCGTTGAATGCGTCTCCTACTCCTCCTACTCCTTCTTCTTCAGCCTCATCTTGATCGACAGATTGGTCTTGAATGTGGGAGTCTGTGGCGGACTCATGACTTGCATGCGTATGTACACCTATGTATGTATATGTGTAAACATGATGTATCAATATGTACCATCATTGTGATATTAACAATGGGAATAAAGAGATGATTGTAGAAGAACACATTCTAACCACACACTACCTCATGTTCTGTAAAATCTCTACATGCTGTATGTATGTATGGTCCTTGATTTCGGATTGGATTGGCCAAGTCAGTCAAGAGTCAAGAGTCAATCTGAATTCAGTACACTTGCATGTCCTTCGAATCGAACTTTTTATTCTGTCGACAACTTGACCGTCTCCTTCTGAAGCAATTCTGCTACTCCTTCAAAATGCACATTGCTATAAAATACTCCATTTTTCATTTGTTCTTTCGTGACTGGCGACATGACAATCCTCCTTAGCATTGGATCAGAGCCCGAGCATGCTACAATGGCAGCAACAACCTATCTTTCGATGCTGGCCTCCGATCGTCTCCTTAACCACCCAGCGACGTCATGTGTGCTCACATCTCATAGCTCGATTAAATTCTTGCCAGGTCCTTCCTTGAGATTAGACTCATGGACAGCATTCCCAGTATGCGTCTCAATGCTATCTCCTTGGGCCGCACATCTTACATGCACCTTGTCATTTTTCCGGCCCGAGCACTACTCAGTGACCTCTCTGACCAACTCCCAGTTTCCTTTGAGGTCTTCCTTCCACAGTGTGACCTTGTTGTCTCCACCACTGACCGCCAGAATATTGCCACTCAGGCTCCAGCTGACACGCCAAAGTACAGCATCCATCTCCAGCGTCTTGGCCAGCGTCCAACTGCTGGGGTCTGCGGGATTGACGCTGGTCCAGATCTTGACCGATCGATCTTGCGATGCCGAAGCGATATATGTCTTGGACAACAGTGTGGGTGACCAAGCAACGTCTCTAACCCAATCCGAATGTCCACCAGGCAGAACGAGAGTATTGTCGTACTGTTGTGACTGGGTATTGAACTCCCAGATTTTGACGTTGTTGTCAGACCCGCCCGTCACAAATCTTCTGACGGGGACTCCGGTGTTGGCACCGCCGTCCTTTCTCGCAATTGCACCTGGAACCCCAATGGGAGACCAGCTGACAGCATTGACGCCCATACCATGTGCAGGGAAGATCTGATGAGCCCATTGATTGTCGCGGAACTCGAGGACACTGACGTTGCCGTCAGAGGAGGCGCATGCGAGCAGACAGCCGAGTTCGGGTGGTGCCCAGGCAACCATATTGACCGAAGCGGTGTGAAGAGTAAAGGTGAAGACAAGAGACCAATGAGACTGGGAGGCTTGAGGGCCGCCACTGGTGACATTTCCCGCAGCAGGAGTTTCGCGGTAGATATGTACCCGGCCGTCATAGGAGGAGCTGGCCAGCAGAGTACCAAACTTGGGGTGCGCCCAAGATACACACCAAACTGCCCCTTCGTGGCTATAGAGATGGCTTCAGTTACAATTCAACAGCCCAACAAGGGGCTATGACGGTAGATGGCTCGGATGGCGGAACTGGGCATGTGCAAGGTGGTTGAGAGCATCGTGTACGTACCCTTTCAATGTTTCTGTTAAACGATGTGTATCACCCTCAATCTCGAAGATTTTAATGGTCTTGTCGCTGGAACAAGTTGCCAGCCGCCTGCCATAGTAGTCCAGAACTGCATCGTGCTTGAAAGAAGGAGATCGTGTCAGTCGACCTGTATTGTGGGGAGGAGGTATACAGCTTAACGTACGATCATGTCATCGTGACCCGAATTTGAGATGACTTGCGCCTGGAGAACTACAAGTTAGCAGGGTTTTTTTCGTGAAATGGGAGTCATCGCCTTTGCAGCCCCTGAAGGATCCAACATCGAGAAAATGACCCAGGTTGAGAGATCTGGAACTGTCGCAGAGGCGGTAGAGTAGGTGGACGTAGAGACATACCATATTGAAGAGGATGTCGGTGGTTGTATTGGTTGAAGATGGGGTTATGGTAGTAGCGGGAGAGGAAAGAAAGGTGCTACCGCATGTCTGAGCAACGGTAGATTCGATATAGACAGGAGTGAGAGAGATATCGTCGTTGAAGAGTATGGGTGCGCGTCAAGTGAGTTATAATGATAGTGATCTGGCAACAAATTGTCAGTTGAACATGGGGCAGGAACCTCCAAATCGCGCCTGCCCGCAGTGCAGTTGCGATGTACAATTGTGCCACATCTAATCTTATCTTGAGGCCCCTGAATTCTGATGCCCGTCACGTGTTATAGACGCCATTGTCTGGTCACTCTCTTTGTCTCTTTTTATTCAGTCTCAAAATCGAAAAACGCAAGAAATATGTGGTTGTAGACTTCTGTTATCGTCTCAGATCAAGCACTGAGCTTACACCGCGGATGCGCGGGAACGCCGCTAATCTACTCGCAATATAACAAGGATACCTGATAGCAGTCGCATGAGCGCCTCGCTGCTTGTTCACCCTTCCAACATCCATTTTCGAGGAAACCGTAGCAGATGATTTCATGACTCTTGCTCAGCGTTGAAAACCATTCTAATGGTACAGGTGGAGCATCTGGTGATAACTTTGGTAGATGCCAAATCAAGAAGACAAGAACTTCTTTCATCGCCCAATTGGATGAGCAAGACGATGCAAGTCTTTTGACCAAACCGGCAGAATCTTGTCTCTTTCGTAAATCAATCCGCAGTTATTGCACAGTGTCTGAACGATCATTGTCAGTCAATCTTCCTGGCAATAGGAGAGTCAAACTTACCCTTGCTCCCAGTGGCCCGTCTCTTACAGCCCATACCGCATTGCCCCATACGAGACAATGTCGACATCTCCAGTTCTGTCGCTCAGATTCATGCAAACGGTTCCCTTCGCCGCCCCATCCTCCTGCTACACTGCCCCCGTCAGGCGTTTGTGCTTTGTTGACTGGGCTCAGTGATCGGAATCTTCGCTTTTTCTTGCTTCGCTCTCCACGTCCCATGGAGGGGGTATCCTCCCCAGCAAGACCAACGCCGGTATAGTCGAAATAACTGCCACGTGTCTGAGCTTCTTGTTCTCTCGCCGAAGGGACCATGCCAGTGGTGGAGCTGAAACGGGCTGTTTCTCTCCTTAGTCTTCTCAATTGTCTTTCGCGGTCGCCTTCTCTCTTTTCGATCTCATCCTTACTGAGGGCCTCGAATTTGGGCTCCCACTCGGCTCCAAAATCATCAATGTCGTATCTCCAGCCTGCACCTTCTTCATGCCGCATGGCTTGATTGTCAATCTCACCTCCGCCCCAGACCCCGCCTCCGAGCAGGACCATGCCTCCTTCGCACGCTTCCTTCTTGAGGCGGAGTACAGCTTCGTAGATGGCGTGGGTGATGGCCATAACCCATTCTCCACCAAGACCCATGTCCGCACAAGTCTGCTTTGCAAACGCTTCGGCTGCTCCAGGTGGATGCAACAAGGACCATTCGAACTTGTCTTGGTACAATTTGGAGGACAGATAAATGGAAAGTGTAATAATACAGCGGTATGTGTCGTCCGGGTTCAGAAGAGGATCAACAGCTTCTTCAGTCTCATCAACTGGGAGGTCCTGAGGAGGAATGGGCGACGCAACTGCAGTCAAGGTAGCACCGTTGGGTAAGGTTTGGGGTCGTGGAGTGCCCGGAGCGGGAGTACCTGGCGTCGTAGAGGCCGGGCGAGATATGGAGGCGCCTAGGAAGGCCCGAGGAGTCCCGTCTCGAGAACTGCCATTGGCCAGGAGCGAAGGTGTGGGTGCGTTGGTGTGGTCAGCCTGCTGGGAGGATCTTTTGTTGTGGGTGTGGAAAAGAGGGTGCATGGCGACACCAGCATAGTCCTCCAATTGAGTCCTGATCTGTTGACTGACATTCAATGCAAGGGCAGTCTGGTTTGGAAGGTCGAGTTCGCGAACAAAAGAGATGGCAAAATCGTCTGGGGTCATGAGATTCTCGTGGAGATTCCACAGGAAGATGTCGCGGACCTTGAAACCCGGGAGTGGTTCAGGTCGTTTGTAGTGCGGGAGCATGCTATAGGCAGGGTCGGCTGTGCGCGGGATTGGATATGGGGTATCGGGTTGGTGAGGAGGGACATCGAGGTCAATTCGGATAGGAATGAGGGTTAAAGGGAGCTGGGCCTGGATGTTGGCTTGGGCATCGGTACTGTAAAAGCAATGGTAAGTTGGGCTGGGGTGCTGAGAGGTTCAAAGGTACATACATTGGCCTGACGTTCCTTCTTAACACCCAGTCCCGGTAGATGGGCTGTATACTGACAGGTCGGCGGGCTTCGCGACCGAGTTTGAGCTGCTGAGATTCTTTCTTTTCACTATCCTCGCGTCTCAGGGAGCGCAAACCGGTAGCTCGTCGCGGACCTTCGCTATCATCAAAGTCGTCATCATCATAGACATCGTCGGCATAATTTATCACGGTTGTCCCTCGTTTTGTTGTTCTGCCTCCGGGACCTAGGGTCTGTGGTTGGAAGACGGGTTGGAGAAGGGTGTTGGCATATTGCCTTACCCGCGGAGGATAACTGGTGACGAAAGCCTGCGCCGGGGCCATGTTGAAAGACGTGGGGATGCTATAACATGACCATGGAGTGTTTCAGGAGTAGTGCGAACTGGTAGAACCAAAAGGTCGACGTAGGGACGGGGTTTATGGTGGTGGACAGAACAAATGTCTAAGGGCGAAGGGTATGAAATGTTGGTGTCGCGATGGAGTCACGGTCCTTCAAACTGCGCGACGCCGAGTAGAGTTCAGCCCGAGAAATGCCAAGCACCTTACGGTGGTGCTTAGGATCAATTTGGGGCAACAGGTGCCACTCACGTGCCATCACAATCACTCCGATAGGAGTGCACGTGTCAAGAGACCACAGTGAAGAGGATCAGGATAGGTAACGAGGACGGTACATATATGTATTAAACATGGTAAATCTCCAGTCTCGGGACGTGTGGCTTGTTTTGTACTGGCAATTGAAAAGCCTTGCCTCCTGCGTCCTGTCCATTTCAAAAGCCCTTTTCTGACCAGCCAACCATACTATACTCCGCTAATGCCTACCAGAGGGATATCACTCAAGCCAACTCTCAACATGGACTGTTCTTGAATCAATCGCTGCTCAGATCACGTGTCATCCACGACCAACGTGTGTAACGAGTCATCGCAGGCCAATAACGCTCTAGTTCAACATTTAGTCTATCATTTCCTGGGGAAAGGGACGACAATCGTAGCACTTACCATCTCCAGGGTCCACACTCGGCGGATCCATACTTTTAGCTGGCCGTCCACACCTTCGACATCGTCTAACTCGACGCCTTCCCACCAACAACGTCGAGCCGGTTTACGCCAAAACAAGAGTAGTTTCTGTGCCATGCCGACCGCATTGCCACCAGCGAGATCTCCTTTGATGTCGGTTCGGAGTCGAGCCAGGGCAAGACTGCAGATGACGGCTTTGTTAGGTTCGCCAGCACGATGTCCCCAGTTATCATCATGATTAAAGCCACTAGTAGAAGTCAACAGGCTGGGGTTATTCACACTCAGATATGCTGCTTACCCAGCAGTGAGCATTTCAATCAGGTGTTGTTCCGTCGTGCCCACCTCCTCACTACGCTTCAAGCCGGAAAAGATGCCATTCTGCCGGAGGAGTGATTTTCCAGCGGCACGTTTGACTTCGGTCATTTCGGCCTGTTCAATATCGGGTCTTGGAGGAATAACGTAGAAATCCAAATCTTCTCTCAGGACAATGATTCCTGCTCGGTCTTGAAGCATATCTTTGGTGGAGCCCTGTAAGGGCTCCATGGAGATGGGGTCATGATCCGGGGGAGTCGTGGGTGATGGGGATGCGGACGGGATGGACTGGGCGACATCTCGAAAGAAGCCCAGCATGTACTGAAGCGAGGCTGGATCATACTGTGTAAAATATGTTAAATCTCCAATGTAATAATAAGGGTTGCTAAGAATGGATATGACATGTGGGCTGGCAGGGTTGCCTACATCAACGGGGTAGACGTCGCCATCATGAAACGAGTTCATGTGGCCGTCTGGCAGTAGGCCATTGGGAAATAATGATAATAGTACAAATTCCGGCAGGGTCAAGAGTTCGTCTCGAGAGAGGGTAAATTGAGTGCCCCTGCAACATGCTGGTCAATAGCGGCTCGAGTCAGAGTGGAAGGGGGAAAGACATACCTCAGGTCCAGGGTGATGTGTTCATCTGCGGCAGCTTCTCCAGAGACTATACATGTCAGTATGATGTGCGACTGCTCTTACTTGAACCTAGGGATCACTTACCACCCAAGGTATTGATCGGGGGCCCGGCGCTTTGTTGGACTTGTGTGATGATACTCGAGGCACCTCCGGCGGCAGCCATGACGTAGTTGAAGGAATTGATCGGACTTGAACCCTCTGTATAGGGAGGAGGGGCCTCTTCGTCGTCGACGGCTTTGGAAGACTGGGCCTTGGTGTCCTGAGGGAGGGCAGCCTTTGTTTCGGCTTCGGCCTTGGACTCGGCGTCGTCCTCGGCAAGAGCCTCCTCGAAGGAGGGTGCCGGAGCGGAGACAAGAAGACTATCGCAGGTGTTCTCAGTGACGGTGGCCCTGATGCGATCGAGCTCGGCGTTGGAAGGGAAGTAAAGGGAGGAGAAAGGAGGAGGAGTTGGTGACGGGGGTGAAGTCGAGGATGTAGCTGCGGAGCGGGAGAACTGGGGTGGAGGATTCAAGTCGATCTTGCCCTGGTCGTCGTCGTCAAGATGACGGATGGTCGACAGCGCCGTGGTGGGCGAAGTACTGGTGGATGGAATGGCGAGATGTGGCCAGAGAGCAAGATCGCGAGGTCGCGAGGGTGATTGGATGCAGTGATGTGGTGGTGCAGTGCTGGCAGCCAATTCAAGCGGGTGTTAGTGCCAATTCCAGATTTGGTCGGTTGAATGGCACAAACGACCAGTTGAGTGGAACAAGATGGGGCTTCTGTGTGTGTGTGATCCGGTTCGTAGTTAACAGATGAGTGTTTTAAGAGTCAAGAAACCTCAATCATAGCAGGGTCGAGGCGGCGTCGAGGTGAGTTTAGAGTATCTTGACAGGATCACAGACGGTGAAGATGGAGCATGGTTGATGATGGAAGTGGCAGAATGGTTACAAGTAGAGTTTGGGCCACTGCAAGAGGGGCAGAGATCCTCATCTACCTAACTTTAGGTGCCAACTTAGGTACCTCCATAGTAAGAATCTAGTTGTCCAAGGCAAGTTCCAGGGGCGGAAACCGAGTTGACAGCCGCAGTGACAGCGGCTGGTGGGCTGAAGGCTCACCTAAAAGGGACTGGCCTGGCTACATCTCAGGCTCTGAGGACCTATGGTAGGCTTGGGATATCAATAGACTGGATTTTAGGTGAGCCTCTAGGTTGCATTCACTAAACGACCTACTATCCTCATGTCTATTTTGTAAATCCCTGGACGGTTAGACTCGCCTAAAGTCGTTGCTACCGCGACCAGAACCAGTCCAACTCATTTCAATTCAATTTATTCATTATGAAGGAATATGGTATCTACTTCAAAGGATTCAACTTGTCCACGATACTCCTCTTCCTTTCCCCTTGATTATCGTTCTTGTCGACCACATTGCCGCTTCCTTGAGAGGGAAGAAGACTGCCACCGCTTCCTGGAAGATTGTTCTCTTTGCTTCCTGTTGACATGCCCGCTACCTTTTTGTCATCTCCCATCTCTCCTGGGCCTAACTGGGAGGTGTCGACCATTCTGTTGGCCGCACCACTATGTCCACTTGTGCCAATGATGCCTGATCCTGCTCCTGCTCCGGCCGTGGTTGAGGGACGTTTTTGACCTTCGAGGCCGAATAATTCAGAATGAGATGATGCTACCGTTGAGTCCAGCGCGTTAGCCGATCGATGACTATGGTTTGTCTTTAATTTGCAACCTCACAACTTACCCATTTTGGTTTCTGTTGTCGAGTGTTCCAAACGAGTTAGTCTTGTCGTGGCCTGATTTGTGGTTTCGTTATTATGTTGTTAGTCTTGTGGTTTATTGTGAGGTTGGAGATTGAAACAGTCACAACATTCAACCACGATGCAGGCTGCTGTCCCCTTTATTAAACAGAAACTCCACCGCCACATGGCTTCATCATCCAGCACAACTCTCTGGTTCCAATTATCCAAGTATGACTTCACCCCAGACGAGCATCGACCTCTGATCGAGCATGGCAATGACGCTGTGTGGATGTGCCCAGCCATCCAAGCCCAACGGAAAATCCGTCCGCACGACTCATATAACCCATGCTTATTGAATAAGCATTGAACACCATCATACCTGGCACAGCCATGCTTGGAGAACCATGAGAACCCCCTTGTTCCTGCCTAGACCCAAGAGACGACACTTGCATCTAACGTACAGATCGACGTTTATGATTTTCTTGTTAAAGCAGATTGATCTACGGATGCTGCCACTCGACTCTCGTCACAGCGTGCTTTTCTCGTGGCGTGGAACCAATCCTTTCCACCACCAATTTCTACCCTTTCAAGTTCGCCTGGGCAGTCAGCAGCTTCAAGGCGTTCTTCCTGGTCAAGTTCTCTTGATGTTCCTTGTCTGGAAATACCTGGGACAGATATTTGTCGTGATCCCGTGACAAAGTCCCTACAGCATTGAAGTTTGTAAAAGGAAAGTCACTTCCATACAAGATTCGATCCACCGTGACATATTGCAACAAGCCCTGGATTTGGTCGGGAAAAGCCCAGCCGGCAGTGTCAAAGTAAAATTGAGTATTGAGTCTCTCACGCACCCAACTACCAGTGAGCTCCTGGTCAGTTCCGGGCACCTTGAGCAGCGATGCGATATTGCCAAAGCGGTCGACCAAGGGAGGGAAAGTGCCACCACAATGGGGCACCTGGAACTTGACGTTGGGACACCGTCTGACCGTGCCAGATAGGAACAGGTTCATGACTGCACGCGCTGTGTCGAACAGAAACTCGAACATGGGCCGTGGGAAGTCCGGCAGGGGAATTGCTGGGTCTCCCGCCGGCAAGCATGGAGTGGTTGGATGCATGAAGACGACAGCCTTTCTCTTTTCCAGTTCGTCGAAGATGGCGTCAAAGTCCTTGTGTCCCAGGTAGCGCCCGCCAAAGTTGGTCATGACCACGAAGCCATCTGCATTCAACGTGTCTAGCGCGTAGGGGATCTCAGCCAGGCATCCTTCCACATCTGGCAACGGCAGTGTTGCGTAGAATCCAAATTGGTCTGGCCGCCGCTTCTTTAGGTCGCTGGCAACCTCATTGACGTGGCGAGCAAGGTTGCGTGCCAGTAGATTATCCCCGTTCTTGAGATAGCACCCAGGACTACTGACGCTGATGATTGATTTTTCAATGTTGTACTCTTTCATCAGTGCTAGATGGGAGTCTTCATCCCATTGCTAACCCAAGACATTATGAGCGCAGGCTGAAGATGATTCAACAAGCATAATGCCGAATGGGACTTACAGGAATATAAGGGAACCCATCGGGGCTTTCATGGCCATTGGCAGCAAGTGCTTCTCGATACTTTCTATTCTGAACTTCAGTCTTGTATCCTAATGGCAAGGACTCGCGGTGAGCAGCGATCTTACTCGGGAAGGTAATGACTGTGGAGGTCGATCTTGGAGTACGGTGACATGGTGTAAACAGTCAGGAACAAGGCTAGTGTTCTAAGTACAGCAATCAAGCTTTGGATCAAATTTTCTTGGATTCAAGATGTTCTGCAGTCTGTCAATAGGATCAGAAGAAAACAAAGATTGAATCGACGCCACCATCTGTGCGGTGAGCCTGATCGTCAGTTCATGTAAGGCCACCTTGAAAGTGCGTTTGCGGGGCACCGGGGCACTTTGTCACATTCGCGGGGGTTGAGAAATCATCAAAGGCGGAGAAGTAAATTGTCCCACATGTCCCGTTGTTGGTACTTGAGACTTCATAGGTACCTTATATCCTTGTTCAGTTATGTACATGGATTGAGATGCTTTCTTTACCATCGTCCATCATGTCATTGTTGCTATGACTCTTTCTCCTGTTAAAACCATGCAGGGTGCAATGAAGGGTATTTGAGGAGTTAGGTCTCAACACCTGTTAGTGACTGGGTTTGAGAGCCAGCATGTTGGAGCTGGGATGTCTGGATGCTGCTCATGGCATAGTTGAGTTGATAAGTTGTATAATCATGCGATGTCGTCTTCTTGTCATATTGTTGAGCGACTGGACATGTGTGTGGCATCCTGTCTCAGCCACCCACCCAAACCGTCGAATCGTTGAACCTTCTTCACCCAGATATGATGACACAAGTTCCTGACCATCGTCGGCGGCAAGTAGTAACACGGTGGAGCAGACCATCGAGGTCCTTAGACGTCACATCCTGGTTGTGTCTCGGTGGCTAGCCAGACAGTGCCTTGCCCACCAGCTCCTTAGCTCGATCACTCAGATCCATCTGAAGCGCGAGCTCCTGGCCACGTTTGCCCATCTTGACCCATGTTTTCTGTAAGATCGAGATAATCTTCTCTTCGTCATGTTCCTACATCGCCGAAGAAGCATACAACTCAGTATTCAAACCCATGGTCATGTGATCGACCAACGTACCTTTTCAAAATCATCAAATTGATCATCCAGAAACACCAAGCACGCGACATCCTCAATGATCTGAGCATCCGAATTCCCCTTCCCTTCTCCCTTCTTCAGGTCCTCTTTCGCAATCAAAGCCGCAACCTTGTCGGCCTCGGCTTCACTGTAACCACACTCCAAACACAACTGCTTGACCTGCTCCGCCTGTCGTTTTTTGAGGAACGTCCTCCAAGCAAAATACCCGGGTTTGGTGCGCGGGTATGAATCCCGCGGCACTTCCCACCGACGAAAATGTTGAGCTCGTGCTGCTGTAGCTACCAGTGGACTGACGTCGGGGCTGTGCAACTCCAAAAACTTGGTCATCTTTTGCGCATAGTGCAATTCGTACGCTATGGTTTGTCCATCGATCTCGACTTTGTTGGGATCTTCTCGGTGTGCGGCATCGATTTTTTCAAACGCTTGTGCGAGATTGGGTGCCATCTCTACTGAAGTTGCTGTGAGATGCTGCCGCCCGATAGGGGTGGTTATGTGCTGTTGACCAGATTCAGGTCATGTGTAGGATCTATGGTAGCTCTCCGATCTATGGGTGTGATTGTACTGGACAGTACACACGAATGAGCAAATAGAAGAGCTCTGATAGGTGGGATGTTGAGAAGCGGGGGATTCGATAACGATCCGCTAAGTAGACACTGGTAGACGATCGATGGCCAGGGCCTAAAATTATATATTTTTATATATCCTGTATCGGACCAAATAATCCATTATCTTCATAATGAAGTCGTCCTAGGGCCTCGCGGGCTATAATTGTAAGTATTGTGAATTTCCACTGAGATCTTCATTGCCCTGCCCAAGAACCTGCAGTCGCCTTGAAGCCTTCCTGTGATCCCCTGACCCCTGCACTACTCAACGCTAATCCAGGTCCTTGTGCTGTGTGATATGGGACCTGAAAATGACATCATGCATTGGTTCACTACTCCACGTGTACAGATTGTAACCATACAAGGTGGGACGAGTTGCTAACATTCCTCTCGTTGTTGCTCAAGAGAGTACCATATTTCATTGTGAACATGGTGGAACACCTATTTCTATAGGGCATCTCCCACCTAATTTTCCAACAGTACACATCAAGCGCCGTGCCTGATCCATCCACTTTACTTGACGCCACTACCATCCATTTTGTGTAACCCGTCTTGATGAATCAACAGGCGACAAAGCCACATATTCTTTCCTCCCAGGTATTCTCAAGCACCTCCTTCTCTCTTTGCATATTCATCCTCCATCCTACTCTCATATAAGCGATCCGCCTGAGCTTGAGTCAACTGCTTCTGGCCTCCTGCACCTCCCAAGCGCTGTTGTTGGACCGGCGCATCACTGGGAATGACTTGCTGTTGTCCTTGACCCGCCTCGGCAGGAATACGAGTTTTGGTGGTCGTCGTCTTTTTGTGGCTGGCATTGGCTCCTAGAGACAGACTGCCTGAGACAGCCCCCGCTGCAGAGGCACCCGCAGAAGCGACAGCCTCAGATGTCTTTTTGAAAAAGCCTGCGTCTTCTGACATTGTGGGAGAGGAAAGCTGAGATAACGGGGTTTCGTAATGAGAAGTATGTAGTCTAGTAGTACTCTGCCTTACGTAGTGATTGTCTGGAAACGATGCGGAATTTAAATCCAGGGCCTAGAGATGGGGCATGGACCGAGTTATTATAGACTATTAGACCCCTAAGTAGCCATTATAAGAATGCATCCACCGTCTTCCTGATGAATAGGTTTTCTTCAAAACCGGTTTTCCATCAACATGTGGAGGAACTCGTGTTTCCATCACGATCCCTGTTCAGGTTCACAGCCATCGACATCATAAGATCTGCAAATGACCGGGACACGTCGTTTTGAGTCCACCTGTAATGGAATTTCATATACTTTTCGATCCTTGGTGGGGAAAGCATGCCCAATACGGTTATGTACGGTAATATTCTAAACAGGAATAGCTCGTCACGTGCATCAACAACATCCTTCTCTTTATTCATCTCATCTCCTTTCCTTTTGGTTGACCTCATCGTTCATCTGATTGTTCACCTTGTTGTTGATCTCCTTGTTGTTTATCCCCTTGTTTGCTTGTTCCTTTCAGTCATTGCTCTTTTGTCGCAATGGACAACAACAACACGAGAAATAATGCATGGACGCCAGCTTGTTCGTCTTCAGCATTGTCCATTTGTCGTCATGGACAATGGCAACACGAGTCTTGGTGTATGGACACAACGACAGCATACCCGAAGCTGTGGACAATGCTTGCTCCTTAAGCCGTGCAGATCCCATCCACTAGGACAACACCCAGGGCGGATTCGTCCACTATGCCTTTCTTTCAACGCGATGAGTCGCGCTGTGGACCGGACTGCCAACTCCTGAGTGACACAGCCTCGTGACAATCATGCAAAGTCATCAATGCGCAACTCCAGTAGAACAAGGTAAATTGAGCCTCACAAAGGCGCCGACAATCCTGAATCATTCCCTTTAACCTCACCCGCTACGCGTGATCGTTACGAAGGGGCTAGGAAGTGAATACTGCCGACCATTCTGATGCTTGGCATCCATTATCTGAGGTGACGACGACTTTGTCTTCACTACTTGCTTGCTGGTACAAACAAAAGGTGAGGCAGAAAGAATGATTTTTTCAGTTTCTCCCACAAAATCCTGTCTGTTAAATCTTCTGCTCGTTTTCCCATTTCACTTTCTTTTCTTCCATCACTACAACTGTACATTTCTTCGTGGAAACACTTTCCCAGGATACTCATCCTATCAAGCACTGAACCCATCTTTGGATTCTCTCTTGCATATCCACATTGAACACTATCAAAATGTTTTTCCCCAGAATTCTCCTCTTCCTCTTTGCCCTGCTCCTCCTCGCCACAGGCACAATTGCGTGGCCCGATTTCCGAGCCGTTCGTCCTGGAGACGGTGGCCCCGTGTTGACTGCTGGTCTTTTGACCGCGGTCTTCACTGGGGCCTTATGGGGTCCTTATCGCGTCTCCTATGAACCTCCTCCCCTCCCAGAGTCGGTATCCTTTGGTCTACCCATCGACAATTCAACGGCAGCGATCTCCAACAGCTCTTCTTACGTCACCCCCGAAATTATAACCCTAACTGATTTGGAGATCGCTGTCAACGACAACCGCCGAACTCTGGAGCGGGTCGATCTCGCCGTTTGCTCCTTGTCTTCGAAACCCCAACCTACTCTTACCGACAATGCAAGCGTGCTGGACACCTGTACCGCCACCTATTATATAGAAAAAGCTCCCGAGAGCACCATCGTCCTCTCAAAATGGCTCATCATCACACACATGCTCAACATTGGGCTTCTTGCAGCATCTCCTGCAATTCAACGAGTCTTGATGACGTTGTATCTCGGAGCCATCTCGACAGCTCACCAACTGTACGCTGTCTGGTCAGACTTCTTCCCTCTGGCTATCCGAGTCGTCGAATTCCTGTACACTCCTTCCGGCCAAAGAGCCCTTGCTGTGCTGGCTCTCCTCCTGCTCGCAACCGCGATCGACGCCTTCGTTCGATGGGAATGGACCCGCCGTGTTGCTAAATCTGCGAAAGATACCGCCATCATCATGTGGTGGTATTTCGTAGGCCAGGCCATCCATCACCCCGAGCTCATGATCGAAGCTACCTTGGATAAATATCGGACTCGAAAGGTCCAAGCTGTCACTGCATACCTCGAACAACAGACGGCTGAACGCAAACTTGCCGCTCGGAGAAGTGAGATTGAGATGACAGATATCAAGGCAATGGCTGCAGATCAGCTAAGAAAGGAGTACGATTATCTGATCCCGGAGCTGCTCAGGAACATCGACTTGTTGAACAAGGCTCGTGTCGCCGCTGAGCTCGCGGAACATCGTGCGCAGCAGCTGGCCCGCGAAGCAGATTATGAACAGTCTCAAGTCGCTCTTGCAAGAGCCCAAGCCGAGCGCCATGCCCAGGAGAAGGCGGCAGCACAGTCTCGTCTCGAAACGGCGCGACGAGAGCTAGAGGCCAAGGACGCCTATCGAACAATGGAACTCGAGCATGCACGCCATCAAGCCACCCTCGCACAGATCGAGGCAGAACGCCTTGCAAATGATGAGGCGGCTGCTGCATCTCGTCTGGAAGCTGCACGACAAGACCAGGATGCTGATGAAGTTCGCCGGTCAATTGAAACCGAGCAGGAACGATCCCTCGCCCTTCTCGCCCAGACAAGATCTCTACGACTGGGCTTTGAAGAGGCCGCGGCAAAGTCCCGTCTTGAAATTGCACGCCTTGAGATTGAAGCTGCACAGCTTCAGAAGCAGGCTGCAGATATTCAGCGATCTACGGCAGCAACCTCTGCTGCCGTCTCTACAACAAAGGTCGAGGTCCAAAAAGAGGCCATCGCCTCAGCAAGCCGGGTGGCGTCCAGTTCGCCACAACAACTCTTCGATGCTTCTTTCCCCTTCGGCTTTGACCGCATCATGGTATCATCAGACAATCTACACTGTGGATTGTATGCGGTCATCGCAAGTCTGACGTCTCAACACCCGACTCTGGACGTCTACCCCTCTGTGAAGGATCTTCTGGACTGCTCAAAGGGTCCTGAATACAAGAAGACATGCGAGGAGTTCGCCTTAACCAATGACGACAACTTCACCATCGACCAGATCGGTTTGATGGTGTACCTCTTTTACAAGGACAATACAAATTATAAATATAATGTCCAAGTGGGAGGGAAGCCCAAGGACGCAGCGCCGTTCCTTGTACCCACTCCTGACAGTCATAAAGATGACTGTGTTGTTGTCTGGATCTATAACGATGCCAACGGGCAGATCGTGGAGTCGAGTGATGGCGACTTCACCATCTATAGCCATTACGAGGGCTTGCGTTCCAAGGCCCCTCCCGCTCTGACAGAGAAGTCAGATGAAGAGGCAGAGGAGGAGGAATACGCAAAGCTATTGGCCCTCTTCGATGACACTCCTGTCTCGACATCGTCTACATCTGGCGATGTGAACCTGGCCGCCACTGACAACGAAGCTGAGAAAGCCGCCGATGTCCATTTCAAAGAGGACTCGGAGGTTGATTCTACTGCTGCTGGACCAGGCACAACGACTTCGGGAACTGATGTTCCCACCGAGCAGCCTTCCCCTGATGCCCATTTCAAAGAGGGCCAGGAAATTATTTTACAGGCACCGCTGCCAGAGGAGGTGCCACAATCACTGACTGTTGCGGAGGCTTCCACAGAAGCACACGACCCGCTGCCTCTAAAGAGCGAGTCGAAGATGCAGAGCGCGCAACAGAAAAGTGCTGGAAGCGATAGCATCGTTGAAACCAAGGAGGAGGAAGAAGAAGCTGTGGTGTCTGAACCAGTGGCAGAAACCGATGCCCGAACCCAGACCACCCAGTCAAACCCTTGGGCGGGCAATCTCAACGAAGACATGTCCACCTGGTTTCGCCCTGAGTCGGATACCGAGACCAAACCTGCGCCTCCGCCAAAGAAGAGTACGTTCGTTGCTATCCCTTCGGCCCTCGACAACAACTCCTTCCCCGCCTTGTCGACTTCTTTCTCTTTCAGCTTGAACCCCGCTCCACAGGAGCCTGTTGTTGCTGCTCCTAAAGAGTCGGTTGTTGCTGCTCCTGAAAAGCCGGTTGTTGAGACGCAGCCGCCCGTCCAGGAGACGTCAATTGCGCTTACGGGTGCGGCAGCCGAGTTGACGCCAGAAGCTCGGAAGGCGTTGATGGAGGCAATCACTTGGCACCTCAACAAGGGGCAGAAGCTTGACATGGCACAAGCAAACGAGGGCTCAAAATTATCCGAGCCCCAAGCCGAGAAGGAAGCTTCTGGACTGCCTTTGGAAATCGCGCCTCAGAAGGAGGTCGCCGATGAAGCTCGCCAAGTGGGTGGTGTTATCCGTGGGACTTCTCGTCAGAATGAAACAGTTTCTGATCGACGTGGATCAATTTTGAAGTCCAGCATCCGCAGATCCCTGAGCCCTAAGAAGTCATCCAGGGTGACATTCAGAGAGCCTTTGGAAGATGTGGCCAAGGAAGAGCCTGAGACCAGCAATCAGGCACCTGTTCCAGAGCCAAGTCCTGAGACAGCGCCTCTACAGAGCGCTGCTGCTGATGTTGTTCCTGGGGACGCCGGTGCTCCTCTCAAAGGGCAACAATTATCTTCCTTCAATCTCCCATTTCGAGGACAGACCACCTCTGATGGCACCTGGCAGCGACCAGTCCAGCCAGTCCAGGCGGCAAACGCACATCAGCCGCAGCAAGCTCAAGGACCTCGGGAACCGACACGACGTCCACATGACACCGTTGGAGCGCAGAATCTCAATACACAGGACCCGCGAATGGCTTTCCGTGATCCAGCACGCGATGCCAATGAATCCAACAGTGACGATGAAGGGTCGGAGTCGCCGTTCAGCAAACTAAATGACACAGAGCCGTCTCGAGTGGTCAATACATCAAGCATGGACATTACTGGCGAGCCCTCGTGCGCCGAGGTTCAGCGCTCTCTGTCTCCTGAGCTGGAGCGCCTGACTCAAGCGCTGAACTTGGAGGATCCATCAATCCATTCTGATGTAGGTATGGGCGATGCAGCTGGAGGCTTCGATGTCCAGGATTCCTATTTCCAGAATCTCTTGAACCAGGACATTGACTTTGGTGGCTCTATACAAGATACTGACATGCTGGATCTCCCTTATAACGAAGAGACCATGGCACAGCTTGGCTTCGACTTTCCCGAGTCATCTGACCCGATGGCCTCGCTGGGTCCTGGAGACCTTAGCCTGCTCGTTCCAGCCACCAATGGCTTCGTATTCCAACAGAACGACCAAGCGAGCATCCCCGGAATCGGTTCAGAGACTTTCAATACTGCCCAAGAAAACTTCGCTTCTGGATATGGTTTGAGAGGCAATACGCCTCCAATTTCATATGTCCAACCATGGCAGCTGCACTATCAAGGACTATATACTGCTGCAGGGACCATGGACTTCGGGACCTCAACCTTCATTCCCCAAGACCTGACTCTAGGGAGTATGGCCACGAATGAAGTTCAGGTTGTCCACCCTGAAGCCAGTATGCAAGATATCCTGGTCGGCGACAATGCTACAGGGACGATGGGCTTCGGAACCTCGATTGTTGTTCCACAAGACCTGAGTCTAGGGAGTATGGCCACGACTGGAGTTCAAATTGACCAGCTCGAAGCCATCAATCAAGACACCCTGATCAGCAACAATCCTCTGGCCATCGAAGTCCCTGTCGCCGAAGTCCCTGACACCGAAGTCTACAGCCCCATTGACGATAACGCAGTGTACCAAGAGTTCATGGCCAATTTCAGCCCATTGCAGTCGCCTGTTCTTCCTTCCGTACAACCAGAGGCAGTTGTGATCGCCAATTTCAGCCCTTTGCAGTCGCCGGTTCTTCCTTCTGTACAATCAGAGACAGTTGTGCCCTCCATCGAGGACGAGTCAGACCAGAGCAGTCTTGACTTGGATGGGGACAAGCACAACCCTCCAGGTTGGAAGCCACAGTCAGTGGCTGATGATCCCGATGCATCAGACGGCGCACAAGATGCTGAGCTGGATCGGATCATGGGACGAGTGTCAGAGCCGAACGATAATAGCGCCATCAACGAGCCGACCACTTCAAGCAAACCCACCGAGGGCAAAGGCAAGGACCAAGCGGCTAAATCGGGCTCAAACGATGGTAGCAACAGCAACAAGCCGACGCGCAAGCCCAAGGCTCCAAAACTCACCGAGGAAGATATAATGGACCATGCATGGAACCTCTTCCGAGACCTTCGGGCGCCGGAGCAAGATCAAGTGTCGAACAGTGGCAACGTTTCGCGAGACAGCTCGATTGATCGACTCCTTCGATCTGACTCCGAGAGTTCTGATGGCTCGTTTGATCCAACACCGCCGGGTGGGTACGACTCGAATGAGGACAACGACAACGACAGCCTGAACTCGACGGACTCGGAAGCCGCTGAGCGTGCCGCGATTGAACGTGCCTCCCAACAGCTGAAGCTCTTTGACGCCGCTGGTGTAACCCACCAAGATTCAGATTCGGACGATGATGGCCGCGCTTCACAAGGCAGCATCGAGCGAATGCTCCTGCAGGAATATGACCACTCAACCACCTCGTCAGAAGAGTGTGACAATCCAGAGAGTGGCGATTCAGACGACAACATCCACACGAGACGCCGTCGCGACAATAACACTGTCAAGAGCGGAGACTTCTCGGTGGCAGCGGGCTGTCCTCCCACTGAGGATGCTGAAGAAGACCCATGGGGAGACTCATAGCGGTCGTGACAAACCAAGAAGGACAAGAAAGATTGCTGGCCTGCAACCGAGGACGCTGAAGAAGACCCATGGGGAGACTCATCGCGGTCGTGAAACAACAAAAGAAAGACTGGAAAGATTGATTGCCTGGGCATGGAATATGGAGTTGAGAAATGAGATTGATATGTTGGACAGAGATGCGACACAGATTAATAGGAGGAGAAGGATAGAGAAAATTGAAATAAGAGTTGGAAATAGATTGCGCAAGGCAACTTGATGGTTATACGGGTGCCTATACGAAGGGCTTGAGTGGGACAGCAGCAAGTCGACGAGTCGATGGGTATAATGGTATTCTATACAAAGCGTTGACTGGGACAGCAGCAAGTCGACGAGTCGATGGGTATAATGGTGTTCTATACAAAGCGTTGACT